CGTCGATGTGTAGACAGTCTAGGGTATAGGATTAGATTTAGCCGGCCTCGATGTGTAGACAGTCTAGGGTATAGGATTAGACTTAGCCGACGTCGATGTGTAGACGCGCTAGGGTATAGGATTAGACTTAGCTGACATCGATGTGTAGACGCGCTAGGGTATAGGATTAGACTAAGCTGACGTCGATGTGTAGACGCGCTAGGGTATAGGATTAGACTTAGCCGACGTCGATGTGTAGACGCGCTAGGGTATAGGATTAGACTTAGCTGACATCGATGTGTAGACGCGCTAGGGTATAGGATTAGACTAAACTGACGTCGATGTGTAGACGCGCTAGGGTATAGGATTAGACTTAGCCGACCTTGATGTATAGACGCGCTAGGGTATAGGATTAGACTTAGCCGACCTCAACGTGTAGACCCGCTAGGGTATAGGATTAGACTTAGCCGACGTCGATGTGTAGACAGTCTAGGGTATAGGATTAGACTTAGCCGACGTCGATGTGTAGACAGTCTAGGGTATAGGATTAGACTTAGCCGACCTCGATGTGTAGACAGTCTAGGGTATATAGGATTAGACTTAGCCGACGTCGATGTATAGACGCGCTAGGGTATAGAATTAGACTTAGCCGACCTCGACGTATAGACGCGCTAGGGTATAGGATTAGACTTAGCCGACGTCGATGTGTAGACAGTCTAGGGTATAGGATTAGACTTAGCCGACCTCGATGTGTAGACCCGCTAGGGTATAGGATTAGACTTAGCCGACGTCGATGTGTAGACAGTCTAGGGTATAGGATTAGACTTAGCCGGCCTCGATGTGTAGACAGTCTAGGGGTATAGGATTAGACTTAGCCGACCTCGATGTATAGACGCGCTAGAGTATAGGATTAGACTTAGCCGGCCTCGATGTGTAGACAGTCTAGGGCAGGTGTGCCCAACCCTGCTCCTGCCGATCGACTGTCCTGCACAGTTCATCTCCAACCCTAATCAAACACACCTGAAGCAACCAATTAACGTCTTCAGGATCTGAAGCAACCAATTAAGATCTTAAGGCTCACTTGAAAATTAAAGGCAGGTGTGTTTAATTAGGGTTGGAGATAAACTGCAGGACAGTCGATCGGCAGGAGCAGGGTTGGGCACCCCTGGTCTAGGGTATAGGATTAGACTTAGCCGACCTCGATGTGTAGACCCGCTAGGGTATAGGATTAGACTTAGCCGACCTCGATGTGTAGACCCGCTAGGGTATAGGATTAGACTTAGCCGACGTCCATGTGTAGACAGTCTAGGGTATAGGATTAGACTTAGCCGACGGCAATGTGTAGACAGTCTAGGGTATAGGATTAGACTTAGCCGACGTCGATGTATAGACGCGCTAGGGTATAGGATTAGACTTAGCCGACCTCGACGTATAGACGCGCAGTGTTGTGCTAGTTACTAAGAAATAGTAACTAGTTACAGTTACTAGTTACTTCATTCAAAAAGTAACTCAATTACTTTGTTGATTACTTACACCAAAAAGTAATGCGTTACTGTTAAAAGTAACTTTTTAGTTACTTTTTTAAAGAAAGTTCTTAAATGTTCCCATTAATGCCCTTTTATGCGTTATGGTCTATACAAACACAAAACTGACTTAAACAGAAAGTAATTTTTAAACACTATTTTATTCAAGTCAGACCAGCACAAACTGAATATATCAAGGATTTCTGAAATAAATAACAAAACAAGCATTTTTAAAGCTAGTGACTTGTTTGCTTTCTCAACATTGATATGTTCATGCAGCTGACAGTACGTTTTTACCACTGTGGTTTTTACTGCATGAATTAATATTTGAGAAATACAATTGTACCTTGATCATTCTTGTTAGTTCATAGTATAGGCCTACATTAACTAAGGAGATACAAATACATCTAACAATGAATGATACTTCTACAACATTTATTAACCATATTTAATGCTAAAATTGTAATCTTATTGTAAAGTGTTACCATTTATATGATTCAAGCTTAAAGAAGATGGCCATATTTAAATATCTGCAAAGGCCAGAGCATTAAAATTACATAAATGTAGACCTATATTACATGTACAGTCTTTCACTTTATTTGCTTAAATTTTAGAACACTTAAGTTGATTAGACTTGATGTCGGCTGCATGAACATATCAATGTAAGCAATCAATCACGTCACTAGTTTTAAAAATACAACTTCGCCGGCTAATGAATGCATAAAAGTGATCAGCTGGATATAAACTAATGCAAATAGATGGTAACAATTGCGACATAAAACATGTGGGTCAGGTCTGCGTGTGTTTTTGTCACATTGCTTTAATCGCTTGAGGTAAGTTAGCCGTTACTAGCCTAATGTTATTCCTCTGAGACTCGACGCCAAGCTTCTGTTCTTTCTCTGCTGATGCAGCATCTACTCAAAAAATGTATTACTTTATAATGATATGGCAATGTGTACTTAAGTGTTCTGTATCCATACCGTTTCGCTGTCTGTGTTTTAAATGCGCATCAAGTGCTCAGCGCTCTCCGTGAAGCTTGTAATCTCCGTGCTCGCGCTGCCTCACGTGTACGTAAACAACTCAGCCAGTGAGTTTGTTATGTGTCCTCAGGTGTCCTCTCGCTCTGTATAATGCTAGCAGTCTCTTCAGTGCTCTCGTACTGTGTAATGACAGCGCACACTTCTCAGCCGCTCCAGCAACTAATTCATTTAAAAAAGTAACGGACAACGCGCCATATGGTAACGGTAACGGAGTTAATTTATTTAAAAAGTAATGCGTTACAGTATTAGTTACTGTCAAAAGTAACTGCGTTACAGTAATGCGTTACTAGTAACGCATTACTGCCCAACACTGTAGACGCGCTAGGGTATAGGATTAGACTTAGCCGACGTCGATGTGTAGACAGTCTAGGGTATAGGATTAGACTTAGCCGACCTCGATGTGTAGACCCGCTAGGGTATAGGATTAGACTTAGCCGACCTCGATGTGTAGACAGTCTAGGGTATAGGATTAGACTTAGCCGACCTCGATGTATAGACGCGCTAGGGTATAGGATTAGACTTAGCCGACGTCGATGTGTAGACAGTCTAGGGTATAGGATTAAACTTAGCCGACCTCGATGTGTAGACCCGCTAGGGTATAGGATTAGATTTAGCCGACCTCGATGTGTAGACAGTCTAGGGTATAGGATTAGACGTAGCCGACGTCGATGTATAGATGCGCTAGGGTATAGGATTAGACTTAGCCGACGTCGATGTGTAGACAGTCTAGGGTATAGGATTAGACGTAGCCGACCTCGATGTGTAGACCTGCTAGGGTATAGGATTAGACTTAGCCGACCTCGATGTGTAGACCTGCTAGGGTATAGGATTAGACTTAGCCGACGTCGATGTATAGACGTGCTAGGGTATAGGATTAGACTTAGCCGACGTCGATGTGTAGACAGTCTAGGGTATAGGATTAGACTTAGCCGACCTCGATGTGCAGACCCGCTAGGGAATAGGATTATACTTAGCCGACGTCGATGTGTAGACGCGCTAGGGTATAGGATTAGACTTAGCTGACGTCGATGTGTAGACGCGCTAGGGTAAAGGATTAGACTTAGCTGACGTTGATGTGTAGACGCGCTAGGGTATAGGATTAGACTTAGCCGACCTCGATGTGCAGACCCGCTAGGGAATAGGATTATACTTAGCCGACGTCGATGTGTAGACGCGCTAGGGTATAGGATTAGACTTAGCCGACGTCGATGTGTAGACAGTCTAGGGTAAAGGATTAGACTTAGCCGACCTCGATGTGTAGACAGTCTAGGGTATAGGATTAGACTTAGCCGACCTCGATGTATAGACGCGCTAGGGTATAGGATTAGACTTAGCCGACCTCGATGTGTAGACAGTCTAGGGTATAGGATTAGACTTAGCCGACGTCGATGTATAGACGCGCTAGGGTATAGGATTAGACTTAGCCGACGTCGATGTGTAGACAGTCTAGGGTATAGGATTAGACGTAGCCGACCTCGATGTGTAGACCTGCTAGGGTATAGGATTAGACTTAGCCGACCTCGATGTGTAGACCTGCTAGGGTATAGGATTAGACTTAGCCGACCTCGATGTATAGACGTGCTAGGGTATAGGATTAGACTTAGCCGACGTCGATGTGTAGACAGTCTAGGGTATAGGATTAGACTTAGCCGACCTCGATGTGCAGACCCGCTAGGGTATAGGATCGCAGAGCATGGTAAGAGCGCAGTGCATGGTTGCATAGCAACGACAGACGCCACGGGAAAATCAGATCGAATTTTACTCTTAATAATAAAAGCTAATGTGCATTGTAAACGTCAGTAATTTATTCTTTTTATAAAAATGATTTAAAGGCTGAAATATGTGAGGTTTATATTTTTATCAAACATTTTTAGTCAAAACTTTATTTGAACTTGTACATACTTGTACAGTAGGCTAGATAACATGTTGCAAGACACTCCTTTAAAATCTAGCCATCATTTTTAATGTTTATGTAAACAAAAAGTGCATATTGATGCTGATTTATTTGTTATTTGCTGGTTTTCGACATACAACTTAGTGAATTGATTTCATTGTGTAGTATTAGCACTTTTTGAACAGGATTCTGTGATAACCGTGATCATTTTGGTCACTAATAATGAAATTAAATTATCATGCCATTTCATATCTATAATTATGTGTTTTTACAATATAATATGCAAATTATCTCTGATTCTGTTCTTTTCTCTGACATTTAAGGGTGACATAGGCATACAAAAACCCTTTTAGGTCTAAAACAGTTTAGATAGTTGTTAATATGAGAGTTATGAGACATTATTTCAGAGATTTAAGTATTGTATTACATGAGTAGCTCTCGGCTACTTTCATTTTTAAAAAGTAGCTCTCAAATGAAAAAAGGTTAGAGACCCCTGCGCTAGAGTATAAATATTAGAGTATGTAGTTAGGTTTAGGGAAAAATCTACCACAAGGACAGAGCAGATGTTGATAAAAATGTTTTATAGTTCTTCAATAAACACAAGGTTCTGTTTACTGTACTGAGAGACGTGAAAAAAAAAGAGATCGGATTCACACACACGGATATACAGTCTCTTAATGTGAATCAGTGACGGCATCTGTACTTGAAGACAAAAGTGATTCCTGCAGATGTCTGATCAGACACATTTTAAGGCCGTATTAAAGTCCTGTGTCAACGCCTAGTGACCACGATCAGTCCTGAGTTTAAAAGGGTCTCCTTCCTCTTCCTCTCCCGCCGCCTCTTCCTCTCCCACCGCCTCTTCCTCTCGAACCGCCTCTTCCTCTTCCTCCCCTTTGAGAATGTAAGTGTCCAGCCGCCCGTCTGATCTTCCTCCTCTCCTCATGATGGTCACGTTCAGCCTGCTGTTGAAATCGCTGCTTCTCCGTCTGTGCAAGTATAAGATGGAGTTAGTGGCGAACCCAAAATGGTCCACAACTCGTCAAAGGGATTTTTTATAATTGGTTCCAAAAGGTTACTACTCTGATGAATCTTAGCAGTGTTGGGTTGACTTGTGATGAACTAAAAGCAGCGACACAATAAACGTATCTCCAACTGTTCAGTAGCACAATACCTCAGCTATTATAAATATAGTCTCTTTTCAACTAACAGGCAACCTTTTCAGAAAAAGATCAGGTTAGCTTGACAAAACTCGGGCTGTAATAAGATATTTTTTCGTGCTCCTAAGAGGCACCGGGAAGCTTGATTCAGTTTAGTGATTCATCAGCTTACTTTAGTCATTCATTGGTTTGTTCTGACAGTTCATGGAAAGAGACAGTTCAAAGAAATGTCCCAGCATGGCATTTATAGTGAAATACAGTCTTTAAATAAGAACTGCTGTCAATCAGAATATTCTGACTCTTTTCTAATTTTGTAAGTTGTATTTAGTGTTTAGTATTTAGTTATCTGTTCAAGATTTTTTTTTTTTTTTTTTTATGGATAGAAAAACAACTACTGCTTAAACTTGTCATAGAGGTCCAAACAAATCTAATATCGCAACAGTCTAGTGTTTTATCTCTCCTTTGGTTGTAGACGGTCAAGAACAGTTTTTATAGTTTTATAGGCTATCATGCAAAAGATTGAAAGATTTGATGAAGTTTCTGAGAAGTCTCTTCTGCGTGCTTACCAAGGCTGTATTTACTTGATCAAAAATACAGTAAAACAGGTATTGTGGAGTATTATTACATTTTAACATTACTGTTTTCTAAAATACATTATAAACTAGTGGTGCAACGGATCATCGATACGTGATCCGTTCGGATCAATATCTTCGGTTCGGCACACACGTGATCTGCGGATTGATTTATGAAAAAAAAAAATTTGTATGCATGTTCAGTCCACACACATCTCCCCAGCGTGGTCATGGCGAGCGGAGGAACGGAGGAGCTAGAACGCCCCGCGTCATTTAAATCCCCTGTATGGGAGCATTTTGGCTTCCCTGTCAAATATAATGATGAAGGAAAGAGGTTAGTGGATAAAACCGTGACGGTGTGTGTAGGGTGGCCATACGTCCGGAGTTGCGCTGAATTGGCCTAAAAAAATTAACTTTTAAAAATCCTGCATATTGATAGCGGCTCCCTGATGTCCGCAAATTAGTTCAAATCTCCCGGAATCTAGAGCGTGCATGCGAGACAAAACATACTGCGCGCTAGCGCGCGAACGGCAGAGAGGGAGAGAGCGAGAGACCTTGCGTGTGTGCGCATGTAAGACAGAGAGCATCCTGATTGGCCTGTTTCGGTAAGTCAACCCCCCTAATATCTCTAAAAATAAGATATTATGCCTCGTGCACTTTAAGTTGATTTTATATATTTTTATTTAATAATAAGTGTTAATAAACAAAAAGACAAAACTTATGTTTATTTGTCTTGTCTTTTTTGCTGATCCGAAAAATGATCCGATCTGTGACTCTGATCCGAGAAACAATCCGAACCGTGAGTTTTTTGATCCGTTGCACCCCTATTATAAACTGTAATTTATTCCTGTAATCAAAGCTGAATTTTCAGCATCATTACTCCAGTCTTCAGTGTCACATTAACCTTCAGAAATCAGTCTAATATGCTGATTTGATGCTCAAGAAACATTTATAATTATTATCAACGTAGAACAGTTTTTGCAGAAACCATGATAATTTTTTTCTCAAGATTATCTGAAGAATAGAGAGGTCTGGGTAGAAAGGCAAGTAATATTTTTACTGTCACTTTCGATCAATTTAATGCATCCTTTATGAATAAAAGTATTAATTTCTTTAATTTCTCAAACTTTGAACGATAACTGCAATATTAATTTGAGAGCTAGAGCAGAAAGTGTAGATAATCACTGAACAATTACAGAAACGATTACATGACTTTAGAAGAGCTGGATTATAGTGCATGAGTCAAATAGACTACTTTATTTTTAATGGTGCTTGACAGTTTGTTGTCGTTCTATGGAAAAGATCTGTGTGAAGATATTTTTGGTTAAATTGGAAAATCTATTAGCATGTGAGTAAACAGTTAAAAAATAATCAATTTATTCATTCTAGGGATGCACCGATATGAAAATTTGGCCGATACCAATAACCGATAATTCCTTATATCTAGTCAAGTCATCCTCATTTATATAGCGCTTTTAACAATGTAGATAGTTTCAAAGCAGCTTTACAGAGATAAACATATAATTTAAGGTAACAGAGATTGGTTTGGTTTTATAGCGGTTCTTGAATAATGTTATTTTCCAGCTAAAGTTAGTTCTGATTGATTCACTTCCGTCGAAATGATCATTTGTTTTTAAATTAGGGGCCGCTAAGATGACACCGTTCTCTCTAAGCAGACTTTAAACGCGAACCTGTGATAAACGCTGACGCCGTTCACATGCGCATTAAGAATTTATCCTATAGTTATGTGCGTTTGAATATATGTGCCTAAACAAACTACTTGTCTAGCCTATAAACTTTGATACAGAATTTTATTTTATTTGATCACTTCGGGGTTGGTACGTGAACCCTAATTTCCACAAAGCTTTATCTGTAGAGTAGAATAGGGATCCACCATAGGGAGAGGCTAAAGAGAGGCTATCTGAAAGCCGATAACCAATATATTGGCCGATAAATTCAAATCTTTATATAATATTTGAGAGCCATATCCCAAGCACACAATTATAATGATGTTCTCATTATAATTTTATGTAGCCTATATATAACAGACTTGCACTGCACATGTTGCACTTAATTGTATTTTCCTTTTTTTTAAGTGATTCCAATCATATTTCAAGCAATTCAAAACCATCATGATGAACAGTGCACATCTGAAGTGTCTCAGCTGAAGTAAGTAATCCATTATTTATCGGCTTTAATATATCGGCCAAATTTCCTTATTTGAACATATATCGGCCTATACCGATATGATGGCCGATACATCGTGCATCCCTAAACCATTCCTTTAACCCTCTGGGGACCAGAAACGCGCCGGCGCGTTTTGCTCGTTTTTTTTCACATAGCAGAAAAATAGACTTAAAGTACTGCCATCATTTCTGTTCATATAGAGTTAAGAAATATGAGAAAATAATCTGTTAAATGTCTACTTTTTTATGTGCCCACATACAATCGAAATAAAATATTGTGCTTTTGTAAAATAAAGAAAATAAACAGGGTGTGCGTTCTGCCTCTCGGTCACCGTGAACTTTTTTTCTGGAGCACGTCTCTAATCTTCAACACAACTCAGCTAATACTATTCACCCAGCCATAAGCAATATATCTTTTAAATCATTTGAGTTTGTACTTTTAAATGATCCGATTCAAAACTAAAATTATTATTCTCCGTTTATGTCATCTATATAAAAAGAGAGACGTGTCAGCCCGTCTCATTATCGTTCTCTCAGCTGATTATCTCTGGCAATGTGACACGCCCACGGAGAGCACGCGCTATTCAAACGCAAATATGTGAAGCAACACATTGAGACGCGTTAACGCCCATAAACTCTGAAAACACACATTATTTTTTAGTCAGATTAATCTACTGTCGTCTTGCGCGGCTATATGAGGAACAATCCTGGGACATTTACCACTGGGTTTATTTTCACTTCGAGGATGAACAGATTCAGCTGAGAAGTAAGTGTTTTTTGCAAGTGCTTTGTTCTAATCGCGATATAGAATAACGTAGTGTCTGTAAACGGAAAAATAGCATACTGTTAAATGTGAATCATGTTTGTGTGTGTATGAATGAATGAATGAACGCACAGATACGCACTGTTACAGACTAAATAACAGACAACATTTCGTTGACTCGTTTTGGATAAAGTTTTTACTCTAAAATAGACATCAAATAAGTTTTTTTTTGGAGTTTCTGCTCATATGTTAAATATATAGTATGTTTTGTCAATAAACTAATCAACTAGGATGTTATAGTGTTTGTTCAAGCTATATCAAAATAATGAATCCTCAACTTTGAAATATGTATGATCAAACTAAGACATTTATGGAGAAAGACAATGTTCTTTTCAAGATGTTTCCAACTCTAACTTTGAACTGAAATAAAACCATGTCTATATGGTGAAGGGTGTGTGATAGAAGTGTCCAGATGTATGCACCCTGTATTTTCCTTATATAAATCCAAACAATCTAAAAGCCATTCTTTTTTAAATCTCCTCATTCTTTGTGCAAGGCTCCTGTAATGATATGGCCTGATAGCACCTAATAGGGCCATTATGGGGAGGGTCTTTGTCTTTCTCAGGTGTGGAATGCCACACATATTAATGAGAGATCAAGCCTCCTGCATAAAGCTTTCTCAAACAAAACACGTCATTAAAAATGTAAAAGACTTTATTGACTTATCTGAATGAGTAGTCAGGATGATTCTGACATAGTTTTGGAGCAAATATTCTAGGCTATGTGATACAATTTTCAAAAGTTTTGTGAAGAAATAATCAATATGTGTTTTGTGGTCTTATTTCAGCAACTTTCATTTTTATTTTTTTCAATAACTACGCATAAACATTATTCTATTAAAAATACAAACATGTACATACATGTTGCTCAGATCTCATGGTAGCCAAGTTTGTGCTATATAGAGTGAATTTACACCTTTGCCATTAACATGTTTATAAATAACTGAAAAAAGCACAAATGTCAGTGCATGTCAAAACATCCCAAGGGCCCCAAAAACACTCTGGTCCCCAGAGGGTTAATGCAAAGAACATTCATGTGTGTTTAGATTTTGGAAGGATCAGATGACCTCAGACTATCTGGTTACTAAAATATTTCCATGAACATCCAACAAAGCAGCAAAAGGACTTGACTGAATGATGTGTACGACCGACAGGAGCAGTATGGGAATTAAATGGGCGTGCGAGCGGTCAAAGGACAGAAAACAATGGTGATATTTTCAGGGCATACTGAAGCCATTCTTCAGTCTACGGTGTGAGTCAGCAGAAATCTGAGCTGGGAATGTGTCTGACACAATTTTACAACACCTTCATCTTCATCTTCATTTAACCAAAGAGGTAGGAAGAGCGAGAAACAAACACATGACTAGGTCCGGGTTAAATGAAAAGGTTTTCAGCAAACCTTTAAGTAATGGCTTATGTAATTGTTTGAATAAATCTGTCATCTGTATTTACTCGTTCAGAAATTTCTAGGATTACAACATCACAACTGTTCATTAAAGAAAATTCACCCATATTAACACACACTCAGTGCTCTGCAACTCATCTGATCTGGATGACACATCAGTAGAGTTCAAACAAGTGTTATAAAGCGTTAGTCTGCACAGGTGGCAGCTGGGATGGGTTGCCATCTTCATGCTCACCTTCTTGAGAGTGAAAGTGAGCTGTTTGCTTCCAACTGCTGCGTCTCTGAGGTTTAGCATCCCTGATCTCTCCTCCCGCTGCAATCGCTCCTCCAGAGATGTCCTGTGTGGCGGAAAACAGTGTTCAACTTTCATCTAACAGCGATGAGCAAAAGACAACGGCACAAAAACTCACCAAAGTTGATTCTGCACCAATTTGATCTTATATCTTATATTTAATGTAGGGCTGTCAGTCACTAACGATCATTTTTGGTAATCGAGTAATCAGTCAATTTTTTAGACGATTAAAAGAGTGATCGGATATTTTTGGTAGTAATAAAATTGAGCAAAGACCTAAGTGCGAGTGTGTGTATGTGTGAGTGTTATTGTAACACTACTTGACAGTTTCATGCGCTTTAAGTATTTACTAGTGTTTATTAGTTCTAAATGCTTCTGTTGACTTAAGTTTTGTTCGACTACATTCAGGAAGTGTACTGAGCCACTTCCGGTGTTTTTCTGGTTACTCGACATGGGTTAATTGCAAATGAGGATTGTTTTAAATCGAGTACTCAAATTGAATCAAGGAATTGTGACAGCCCTAATTTAATGTTTATATTTTTTATTTTAATGTATATTTTTAATGTTGATTTTTGGTACAATATCCAAATATATTTTGAACCAAAGGTTTTAATGATTTTCATGTGTTCAAGGTAATTAAATAAACAGTTTTTCAATAACTGAAGAAAGTGTGAAAGTAATAACGTTAGCATGAGCCTAAGTGGCCTAGGTTACGTCATCTAGTTATTTTCTTTATAATAATGTGCATTTAAGAATCATTCACAATAAGACTATGAATATGTATAATGTAAATAGATAGAATTTTGATTTTTATCTCATGTTGACTTTAGTATGTCAAAACTGTTCTAGGTTAAGTGCAAATGGTTAATCATGTAAAACCAAGTCTGGGAGCATCAGACAATTGTCTAGCACTATAAAAGCCATTAGGAGGTTCAGAAGGACATGCTCTCTATATTTGGCACGCTCATTTATATGTGGCCCTGAGTCAACATGTGTTACCTGTCAATAAACCACCCACTGAGTGTCAGACGAGGGTAGGACAGGAGTGCTAGTATAGTTGTTTTAATAGTTTTATTACAGCATGTACACATTTATCCTATGTCTTAGAGTTAAAATGGTCCTTTTTTATTATTAAACCTATTTTGGCTTTGTTAGAAGAATTGTGAATCGAACCAAATCGTGACATTAGCATATTGTTACACCCCTAATAAATAAAAGCGTTTCAAATATTCAGAATCGATATGCATCAAACCGATATTTTTGACAACACTTTCCTTTCCCTTCCCTTTAAGCAATCCATCTTTAAAGACAACCTATTATGCCCTTTTTTAAAGTCTTCCCAGTCGTCAGTTACGCTCCGTTTAGTTCCTGTCTCTATGAAGCCCCTCCTTCTTAAAAGCACAGTGTGCTCTGATTGGTCGGCTGGATCAGTGTGTTGTGATTGGTCAAGTGCTTCAAGTGTGACTAACTAACACACTACTAACTAACTCAACCAGGCCCCGCCCTTTATTCTGCGTATGAATTATTTAAATGAGGAATATTGTGACGTGTTCGTTCCCGGAACAGGAGTTCAGAAACACTGACACTGATATAGAGAATAACTTCCGCTGAAGGGACTTCGTGCTTTGATACTATGCAGAGATTTTTCATGCTCAAACAACAACATTACACACTAAAGAATAGGGTTGGGTAAAAAAATATTGATTTCTCGATTTCAATCGATTCTCATTTTTACGAACCGATATCGATTCTTAAATCACAAGAATCGATTAGGCTATCCTGTTTTCAGTTGATGAATGAATGGAACATTGTAGCGCTCATCCCATCCAATAAATCGCAATAATCTTTGTGCTTTGTTACTATTGATATGAAACAAAGTCTCAGATTTCTAATTACGTCCATTTTCTTACGAAATTCAAAAACATTCCGTTCTCTTTCTAACATTCATTCGGTATCTCACTATGGGAACGCCTCTGGGCATGACCGATCGCAGAAGTACCAATTAGACCACGTCTGCCAACTATGGCAGACCAATCGCTGCAGCGATCAGGGAGTTCCGGCACCCTGTATATAAACGCAGCTACCTGCTGTTTCGTCATTCTCGCTCTCTTCCCCGTGGAAGATTTTGGAAGCTGTCCTCAGCAGACTTTGGGAACTATTTGCTTAACAGTTTTCAGACGGAGAAGATAGGTTATGTCCAAAACGCAATATTTTCCTTAGGTCGTTGAGTGACTTCGTCACTTAAGAGTACGATAACTAACATGTCAAGACGAGTTTTCTTGCTTTTAAGTTTCTCTAATCATTTTCCAAGTTTTTCTGGGCGCTTACCACGCACCAAAAGGATAAGGAAAATGATAGCTCTCTAATCGCAGCACAGCTCCGTACCAGTTGTCACAATGGGTGAGAACTCACCGTACGAAGAGAGTGCAAGCTCCATCATGGACACCGCGATAGAACCGGAGAGCCCCGGAGGAAAAGGTCGTCCTCCACATCCGTGTGCTTGTGGAGGAAGATGACGATGATGAGGTATTGTCGAACATTCTCAAGGACGACGACGATGAAGATGCCATTCTTCCCCCGAACCAGTCCAGGCCGCCGAGTGCACAGGATGAGAGTTCACCCTCCCCTGTACAGACGGATTCAGATCTAATCGAGGTCTGTCGCAGGGCCACGGCTAGATTGTCGATCGATTGGCCATCCCAACCGGCAGGTCAAGGGGCTGAAAGAGACCTGTACGATGGAAAGAGACTTCCGTCACGTCTCCCGCCAGCAAGGCAGTTCATTCCGGCCATCCCGGCCTGTGTGACGGAGATGAAAAAGTTTTGGGACAAGCCTTTTTCAGATCGAGTGCCCGTCAAGGGCTTCTCAAGGCTTGATGTTCAGGGAATGGACGATCTAGGGATGGCAGATCCTCCCCCGGTGGAAACGTCGGTTGCAAATCACTTGCACCCGGGCGCTGCCAGGGAAAACAGAGCGCTTCGCCGCCTCTGTTTTTCAGAAGATCTAAAAATCAATTGCACTGTCCGTCCGTGCTTTGAACGCGACGTCACTCCTGTTGAGATGTCCCTCCAGTTGAGATGGGTCGTCAACTGGACTCCGGATCTCCCAACCCAGTGCTCTGGGAGGAGATATGTATCATCGCAGATTTGAACCTGCGCACATCCCGTGGAGCAGTTCCAAGTTGCGGACGGCGTATGGGCTTAGCAGTGGTGGGTGAGAGATCGCTGTGGCTGGGTCTGTCAGGGCTCTCTGAAAAAGAGAAAGCAGAGTTTCTGGATGCCCCTATAGATCCAAAAGCCATGTTCGGCGCAACGGTAACAGCGATGCGGCAGCAGTGTGACAGGGAAGAAGGAGGGAGAAGCTTTCCAGGTCTGTCTCCCCAGAAAGCCGGCGGCTCTGCCTTATCACCTGAACCGGCCGAATTTCAGACCGTCAGGCAGAGGAGAGCATTCAGATTATCAGCCTTCCCGCTCTGCTCCACCACAACAGCCAGGCAACGCGGCCCTACAGCCTAAGCCCGGTTTCGTTAGACCTCAACAGTCTTTCGCAGCCGCAGCAGCGAAACGCCGAACGCCCGCCCCCCAGGGGAATAAGAAGAGGCGGTCAACCTGATACGTCAGTTCGGCATCAGGAAGGGTTGGGAGACAGCACCCAGGGTTTCTCTGTCCCATCCCTTCAGAACGATTCCTCTCTCCCTCCCGCGGGGAAAAGGAATTCAGAGGTGAAATGTGTTTGTGTGGACAGTTCAGAGTCCAATGTGTGCGGGAATGTGGCCACCGTTCTTCTAGTGCCCCCCAAGAGATCGTCTCCCCTTCCACCTTCGAGGTCTGTTATGAGGGAAGAAGGTCTAACGTTCACAAGCAACTTTTCAAAAATAAAGTTCCCTCTGACGCATCCAGGTCAAAGACCGAGGGCGCAGAATGTGAAAAAAAGATCACAAAAGAGTAAAACAATCACAAATAAAGACCAATATAACTCCGTCACTGGAGCGGTCTTCCCCCCCTTTGCCGCTATAGTGTGCTGCAGCACCTCTAGTGAGCGAAGACGGGAAGGGCCCACTCGCTGCTCAGACAGTGAACTGGCGCGCATGCGGAGTTCATCCCTGGGTATTAACCACCATAGAGAGGGGATACAGGATTCAGTTCGCTGTAAAACCTCTGTTCAACGGAGTGATAATTTCAGTGGCCAAAGGGAAAGCAGCTCTGGTTTTAGAGGAAGAAATAGCCTCTTTAATGAGAAAGGGAGTGATAAGAGTGATTCCAACGGAAGAGAGCCACAAGGGTTTCTACTCCTGTTATTTTGTGATTCCCAAGAGAGGGGGAGGTCTCCGTCCCATTCTGGATTTATGGGTCCTCAACAGATACCAAGAAATTCAAAATGCTGTCTATCAGAACATTGTGTCAAAATATTCGGCAAGGAGACTGGTTCACCTCCAGGACGGGATCTCCAGGACGCCTATTTTCACATAGATATTTTTCCTGCGCACAGAAAATATCTGAGGTTCGCCTATCAGGGCACAGCATACGAGTATACGAGAATACCATTTGGCCTAGCTTTAGCCCCTCGGGTATTCAGCAAGTGTGTAGAAGGAGCCCTGACTCCGTTGAGGAGATTAGGGGTCAGGATTTCATATCTGGACGATCTGCATATCTGCGCGCCATGCCGACGGCAGGCAGAGAGCGATACACACACACTAGTGACGCATCTGGAGAGATTAGGTTTTAAGATTAACCAAACGAAGAGTTGTCTATCTCCGTCTCGGGAAATAGTATACTTGGGTCTCACTTGAATTCTGTGATGTTTCGAGCTTTCCTATCAGAGGTTCGCATCAAAACTTTTCACAGCTGCCTCTCCCTTTTTCAACGAGGGAAATCAATCTCTTTCAGAATGTGTCTTCGGCTACTAGGACTGATGGCCTCAACTGTGTCCGTGGTTCCCCTGGGACTGTTGCGAATGAGGGATTTTCAGAACTGGACAGCATCAAAGGGCATTCGCCCCAAGAGCCGCCTCAGCCGCAGAGTGCGTGTCTAACCAGAATGCACGAGTGCTCTCTGTCATTAGAGTGTCCCGTCTTTTCTCAGGACAGGATGCCTTCTGGGTGCGATCGTACTGAGAAAAGTGGTGACGACAGATGCATCTCTCCCAGGCTGTGCTCGAGGGCAGGACAGTGAGAGGAGTTTGGTCTCCCCCACAGAGAGAGAAGCACATACATTTTCTAGAGCTTCTGACAGTGTTTCTAGCTCTGAGGCATTTCCTGCATTTTCTAAAAGATCATCGCGTATTGGTCAGGACAGACAATACAACGGTGATAGCCTACATAAATCGGCAGGGAGGAGTACGTTCTCAGACGCTTCACATGGTAGCGAAGAAACTGGTTATGTGGAGCAGCAGGACATTCCTGTCATTACGCGCGACGCATGTCCCGGGGATAATGAACAGGGGAGCGGATCTATTGTCCAGAGGGAATCCTCTGTATGGGGAGTGGAGACTCCACCCCCAGGTGATCCTCATGGTGTGGCAGAGATTCGGCCAGGCTGCCGTAGATCTCTACGCATCGCGCGAAGACACACAATATCCCCTGTTCTTTCCTCTGGTCGGCGACGACGCACCATTGGGTTTGGATGCTCTAGCCCACGAGTGGCCAGACGTGTTACTGTATGCGTTTCCTCCGTTGAGCTTGATCGAGCCGACATTACGGAGGGTTCGGGAGCGCAGACATGTGATGATTCTGATCGCGCCGTACTGGCCGGGGAGACTGGGTTGCGGAGATTGCGCAACTGCTCTTCGACCAGCCTTGGCCGTTACCAGTGCGCAGGGATCTCCTCTCACAGGCACGGGTGGGAAACATTCCATACCTCCCCTCAGAAGTTAGCTCTCTGGGCCTGGCCCATGAGAGGTTGAATCTGAGTGCAGCCGGACTACCTCCTAAAGTTATTGAGACGATTCAGAACGCGAGGGCATCCTCGACTCGTTCTTTATATAACCTTAAATGGAGAGTTTTTGAGGAATGGTGCGCAGATAAGAACATTGTTCCATTCTTGTGCTCTGTTTCGGATGTGCTGTGTTTTCTTCAAGACTTCCTGGATAAATGCTATGCTAAAGTCCTATGGTTGCTGGGGATTGTTGGGTTCATTGTTGGTGTACTATGATGTCTGTTTTTTGGTTATTTATGTCTGAGAGTTGTACCAAGACAAATTCCTATCAACTTAGTTGACATGGCAATAAATTATTGATTATTAAGTGATTATTATTAAAGGCAGAGCTTTTTCCATGGTTAAGGTGTATCTGCCCGCTATATCGGCATGTCATGTGGGTATTGATTCGGGTACCATTGGCCAACACCCTCTAGTCTGTTGTTTTATGAGAGGTGCACATAGGCTACACCCAGTATCAAAGCCGCTGGTCCCACCATGGGATTTGTCTGTGGTCCTGAACGCGCTCTCAAAAGCCCCGTTCGAGCCAATTGAGAGCATTGCCTTAAAGCTGCTCGCTTTAAAGACGGCTCTGTTACTTGCTCTTACAACAGCAAAAAGGGTAAGTGAACTACAGGCTTTATTAGTTCACCCTTCATGTATGAAGTTCGCTCCGGGTGGTCAGAGAGCTAATTTTAGAACTAACCCGGCGTTCGTGCGCAAAGTCTATGATCACGCGGATACAGTAAGAGCAGTGGACTTGCCAGCTCTTCATCCATCTCCTTTTTCTTCTCCAGAAGAGGAAAGGTTACACTGTTTATGTCCGGTTTGCACGCTGTATAATTATGTACAGAGAACCCACACAGTGTGTAAGAGCAACCAGCTATTTGTCTCATGGGCTGACTCTTACAAGGGAAAACCTATCTCCCGTCAACGCCTTTCCCACTGGGTGGTAGAGGCTATTTTGTTATGTTACAAAAGCATGAATATGGAGTCCCCAGTAGGAATAAGAGCGCATTCTACTAGGGGAATGTCTACATCCTGGGCTCTATTTAAGGCGATTTCTATTCAAGAAATTTGTGCGGCGGCCAGCTGGTCCTCTCCACACACATTTATCCGTTTTTATAGACTGGATGTTACGGAGCCCTCTCTGGCCCACTCAGTTCTGGGAGTGAGTAGTCAGGGGGTATGAGATGGTTAAGATAAAGGGGGCGCCTTTCCCCATATTATCCTGTTTTTACCGTCTGTGACAATGATTCAGTATATTTATATCCCCACTTCTTCAGTCTAATTCGTCAGCATATCGGCAATACGGGAGTTGTCTATATCCCATAGTGAGATACCGAACGAATGTTAGAAAAAGAACGACAGGTTACTGACGTAACCCCGGTTCTCTGATAACATGAAGTGAGGTATCTCACAACATTGCCCTCCTTGCCTACTCGCACGGAGAAGAGACATGCGGAGAATGAGGAAACGGCAGGCAGCTGCGTTTATATACAGGGAGCCGGGACTCCCTGATCGCTGCAGCGATTGGTCTGCCATAGTTGGCAGACGTGGTGTAATTGGTGCTACCGCGATCGGTCACGCCCAGAGGCGTTCCCATAGTGAGATACCTCACTTCAGGTTATCAGAGAACCAGGGTTAGTCAGTAACCTGTTGTTTTGGCGCTGTGGCGTGAGATCGCTCAGCTCAAGAGAAGCAGCAGCGCGGAGCGCACATGATCTTCTCTTCCACCTTATTAATACCAGTTACAGCGCGAAATAAACATGAACGAGCATCTGAAAGTGTGTTAAAAGATAGAGTACAACTTATCGAAATCCGTATCATGTCACATGGAATCGCTCAACCAGTGTTTCAACCGTGGAAAGACGTCAGTAAAACAACTTGTAAACAATGTCATGTAACGTCACATTTACCTCAGAAAAACCATATCCAGTGACCATAAACTCGTTAGTCAGCTAGAAAATTTAACTGAGGAGCATTTAGCTAAATAAATGCACCATATTTATTATAATTTTTTGTTCTTCAATATTTAAAGCATGTTTGAATAAATCTGGCAAGTTTTTATGACAGCCACCATTTAAATGTTTGTATTTCATATAACTTTATTATTATAAAAATAAATAAAAGTGTAATTTAAGTGTTTGTATACAAATCAGTATATAATTAACAATATTTTAGTAGGCTAATGAAGCCTAGTAGGGTACAACTGACTCCCATAGTTTACAGCATTAGTTAAGAGATTTGTTTTCGTTGAGAAAATTTGCCATGTATTGTACCTGATATCCAAAATAATCAATATTGCATCGAATCGAAATCGGAATCGAATTGCAAGCTTGTGAATCGATATTGAATCGAATTGTGAAATTTGTGTCAATACCCAGCCCTACTAAAGAAAGATGAACATGTGAAAAAAGCATAATAGGTCTTCTTTAAGCTCAAGGTGGACTTAATTCTCCAAAATGTGGTGCTAAAAATGGTTTTAAAATGCATCTATGAGAACAGGTAACTTACTTCTGCATCTTCTGCTTGTGGGAAACGTCGCTGAAGCTGCGAAACTCCTCTCCTGCTTTGATCTGGTAGAACCGAGGCTGGCTCTGGTTCTGATGCTCCCCCTGGAGGTTCCCGACTGGATCTGAACTCTGTAAGTTGGTGTCTCGGTCCTGTTGCCTCCTCTCTTTCCTCTGGACGAAGCTGCGCTCTCGCTCCTCGGCCCGTAAGAGACGCCGCTGAACCCTCACCTCCTCCACCCAGCTCTTATCGTCATCATCAGAGCTCTCCTCTTCCTCTGAGCCACGGCCTTCCACCTCCTCCTCCTCGCCATCCTGCTCGTGGGACCACGAGTTTGAGATTAATTTATGATTATTATCTCCCACAAATCAGAAGATGTTAGCTCTGTTCCTTGTGACCTGCATTTTCGTCAACACCAGTGTTATTTTAGTATCACTGAGATACTACTGTAGTTTTTATTCATAATTTGAATTATTTTTAATATTTTGTGTTTCCTTTTTAATTTTTAGCTTTAGAAACGCTGTTGTGTTTTTCAGGGTTATTATGACTAACTAATACAAAAATTAATACATTAAAAACATTTCTGTTAATTGAAATTGTTTATTTGGTTAACAAAATTATGATGAAGTTTGGTTGACGACCTTTTCTCCATGATGATAACGATAAATGTCAGTAGCCAAACAGTTGATAGTTCCCATTAACTTCCATGGTATTGTTTTTTCCTACAATGGAAGTCAACGGCTAGCTTCAACTGTTTGGTTACCGACATTCTTCAACATATTTTCTTTTGTGTTCAGCAGAAGAAAGAAACTCATACAGGTTTGGATCAACTTGAGGGTAATAGTAAATGTTGACACAATTTTAATTTTTGAGTGAACTATCCCTTTAAGTGCATAAATCAGTGATCAATCAGAGGTCATAAGCCTTTTTGTGTCTATGAAACAGTCCCAATGAGGAAAGTTTAGTTCAGCCTGATACAAATATGCATGTTTTACTTGAAAAATAAGAAACGTCAGTGTTCCCTTTCGAGGGAACTCGCGCTGCGTCGAGAATCGACACTTTGGGGAACGCCTTCAGCGTGACGTGTCTGAACCCTGTATGGAACTAGTCCAATCTTGATTGGTGTTGCGTGATGACATCACCCGTGACGTCGCATGTGACGGTGAAGCGGAAGCTATAAAAAGACACCGGAACATAACAGCGTCAGCTTTCTGTTCTTCAGCAAGCGTTCTATGTGACTGTCTTATTTGGTGTTGTTTGTACGTTACCCTATATATATATTTAGAATATGGCAGAGAAGCAATTCAGACAGTGTGCATCCCCTTGTCCACGCTTTTTGAGCGAGGGTGACACAAACTCACTCTGTGTTGTTTGTCTGGGAATGGAGCATGCACAGGCAGTGCTCCAGGCCACTGTCTGTGCTAATTGTGATATCATGCCCATGAGAATGCTCCGTTCCCGCCTGTGCCTGTTCGATAAAGCAGGCCAGGCACGCGATCCCCAGGGATCGAGTCCCGCGTCTGTCGAGGCAGCGCGGCGCCTGCATTCTTGGTGATCGCAAAGGGATCTGGTTGGGGATGTTGAGACGGCTTCGGCCCTTTCCCAACATTCAGCGACCAGTTCCCAAGGTCCCGCTCACGGTTCGGGAACCCGCACTGCGGCTTCTTCCGCCCGTGAAGAAGACCAGATGCTCGAACTGTCTGCCTCTGAGGCGGCGGATGTTTTGAGCATCGATGCAGGGAAATGTGAGGATCTACCACTCCATTCTCCTGCATCTGAGGAGCTGCTGGAGGTTGTGACTAGGGCTGTGGCCAAGTTAAATATCAATTGGCCACCAGAAAAGCAGGAAGCGACAGTAAAAAGCAAACTCGATGAGCGCTTCCTGCAAGCCCGGTAACAGCCACCGAGGTGTCGAGATCGTGGGATAAGCCCTTCTCCTCTCGACTTTCCAGCCTCAATGTACACGTTTATTCATCTATTATGGGGTCGAGAGATGGGCTATGGGATGATGCCACGGGTTGAAGAGACATTTGCATCTCATCTCTCGCCCGAGGCTGCATCGTCCCTGAGAGCTCCGGCGCTTCCCTCCAAGCCCTGCCGTACAACATCGGCCTTGGTTGGGAAAGCATATATGGCAGCAGGTCGGGCTGGTGCATGCCTGTACACAATGGGGCTCCTGCAGGCATACCAGGCCGACCTGTTAAAAGTGGTGGACGACAGCGGGGAGGTCGCCCTCGACGATATTCAGGAAATGCGTTGAGCGGTTGACTTGTCTCTCCGTGCTACCAAGGAGACGGCCCGTGCAATCGGCCGTTCTATGGCAGCTTTGGTAGCAACGGAGAGGCATTTGTGGCTGAATTTGTCGGGTGTCGGGGACAAGGCGATTTCGTCGTCTGGCCTCTTCGGCGACGCAGTCACCACTGTCATCGAGAGGGTTCAGGAGACGAAACGACAATCAGCCGCATTAAAACAACTCATCCCCCGCCGTCGTCCCAAGTCTCGTGGGTCTGCTGCCAGGGGGTAGTCCAACCAGGCAGTCGCCAGCTCCTCACACCTGCAACAGCAGAGGGAGAGTGTTGCTTCTCGTGCTCCCCCGGAAAAGGCCTGGAGCCAGAGGCAACACTCTCAGCTGAAGTCTTCTCAGCCGAGGACAGATCTGAGGACTGTCATCCAGGCGAGGAAGGCTTCGACGAAGAGGTCCTGATGTGTTGCACAGGCCTCTCAGGGCGTTCCCCCCCGTGATCGAGTATCAACAACTCGCTCCTTTACGGAGCCCTCAGGAAATCCATGTTTGCTTCCCACCGCCGAAGGCGCCTCGAGACGCATCGGTTTGCTCCGAGCAGGGTCAGGTCATGGAACAGGAAGTCCATTCCCTCTTAGCGAAGGAGGCCATAGAGCATGTTCCTCCTCAAGAGCGAGAAACCGGGTTCTACAGCCGGTACTTCATAGTTCCCAAGATAGATGGGGGTTTACGTCCCATATTAGATCTCAGGGTATTGAACCGATCTCTGAGGAGATACGATGATAGGTATGGTCAACATTTTGAACCTGTGAGTCAAATCAGGATAGATGGAGTCATGTCACGATAGATCTAAGGGATGCTTACTTCCATATCTCTCCATCCTTCCTCAACACAGGAAGTTTCTAAGGTTTGCTTTCGGGGGAAAGGCTTACCAATACAGAGGGTGCTTCTCAATATCTCTCCTCGATCCTCCATCCTATGACCCAGAGACCGATCGAGCTCAGCCATCTTTTTTTTTTTTTTTAACTTTAGACTGGTAACTGATAATGAGTTTGTGCTGAGTGCAGGCCACTGAGCTGGTCTACAGACTGGTAACGGGAATGTGCTGAATGCAAACTGCTGGGCTGGGACACAGACTGAGAGCTGGTTTATGCTGACTGCAGGCCACTGAGCTAGTCTACAGACTGGTAACGGGAATGTGCTGAATGCAAACTGCTGGGCTGGGACACAGACTGAGAGCTGGTTTATGCTGACTGCAGGCCACTGGAGCTCAGCCATCTTGAAGGACATCTCAATTCTCTAATTGCACCACGAGGAGGCGAGGGTCGAGGAGTGAGGAGGCATCCAGAGGAGCTATGAGCGGGGATGGACAGTTGCATGCTTTGCGGAAGTGTTTTATCGACTAAACGTGACGCACGTACACATTCTCCTCCCCCTTCACGTCGGTCACAATCATTTCAATTTATACTTGACCTTTGCAGTTTATATAAACCACACATCTAACATATTTCAACAGGGTATCTTGCTTTATTATTATTTATTACTAATTTCTTAAATAACCAAACTTCAACAACTTAAGGGCAGATCCTTTGAGCGCTGCTGATGACGCAGTGAAGTGACGCTCGAGTGGTCAAGTATTTCATTCGATTCCTCTGTCCTCCTTTTCTTTCCTTGCAGCCTTCCCTCGTATCCTGCAGGGGGTGGAGCTGAGACGTGAGGAAAGGAAGCGAGGAAAGGAAACGAGGATGCAAAAATAAGAATTGAGAAGCACCCAGAGTTCTTCCATTCGGCCTAGCACTATCACCTCGCACCTTCACGAAATGTATGGATGCTGCTCTTGCTCCTCTCAGACTTCAAGGCATTCGCATCCTCAATTACATCAACAACTGGCTAATTCTAGCAGAGTCGAAGGTCATGGCAGTTCAACATCGAGATGTTGTTCTGCACCATCTAAGGTGCTTGGGACTGAGACTCAACGTCAAGAAGAGTTCATTAACTCCTCTGCAGAGAACTATTTTCCTGCGGGTAGTTTGGGACTCAGTTACGATGCAGGCACAGTTGTCTCCTGCTCGTATAAATACCATCTTGACCACAGTAACGAGTTTCAGGCTGGGCCACACCACCACTGTCAAACACTTTCGTAGAGTGCTGGGTCTCCTGGCGGCAGCGTCCAATGTAATTTCTTTTGGCCTGCTGCACATGAGGGCCTTACAGTGGTGGCTCAGGACCAAAGGGTTTTCCCCGAGGGGGAACCCCTTTCGCACTATCAAGGTAATGCGCAGATGCCTTCGTTCCTTGATAATGTGGAAGAAACCTTGGTTCCTGTCCCTGGGTCCTGTGTTGGGGGCACCGTGTCAGAGAAGAATTGTGACCACGGATGCTTCCCTCACAGGCTGGGGTGCGGTTATGGAAGGCCGCTACACCAGGGGTCTCTGGAAGGACCCTCATCTCTCTTGGCACATCAACTGCCTAGAGATGTTGGCGGTGATTCTGGCTCTCAGACACTTCCTTCCGGACCTCAGAGGCCATCATGTTCTTGTACAGACAGACAATACGTCAGTGGTCTCCTATATAAATCGACAGGGGGGCCTGAGATCACGCCCTCTATGCAGACTGGCGCACCAGGTCCTCCTGTGGTCCCAGGGCAAACTTCTCTTAGTCAGAGCGATGTTTATCCCTGGAAACAACAATGTGGGAGCGGACATCCTGTCGAGGCAGGGGCTGAGGCCCGGGGATTGGAGACCTTACCCAGAGTCGGTGGAGCTAATATGGAAAGAGTTTGGACAGGCCGAAGTGGATCTGTTTGCCACTCACTGTCCACTCTGGTTCTCCCTATCGCATCCAGCTCCCCTGGGACTGGATGCCATGGTGCAGACGTGGCCGAGGCTACGTCTGTACACTTTTCCCCCGATCGTTCTGCTCCCAGGGGTTCTAGAGAGGGTCCGGCGGTACGGGATCAGCTTACTCCTAGTAGCCCCGTACTGGCCGGCCCGAGTATGGTTTTCGGACATCATGGTTCTTCTAGCAGGCCCTCCATGGCAAATCCCGATCAGGAGGGACCTTCTTTCTCAGACCGAGGGCACAATATTTCACCCTCGGCCGGAGTTATGGAAGCTGTGGGTCTGGCCGCTGAGGGGGACCAACTCGTAAATGCTGGTCTCTCAACTGAGGTTGTTGAGACCATTTTAAACTCTAGAGCCCCCTCCACGAGGAAACTGTATGCATTTTTAATGGAATGTATTCACTTTATGGTGCAAATAACTTCAGTTGGACCCAGTTAACTGCCCGGTGGCTTCAGTACTGGAGTTCCTCCAGAGTCGCTTCTCTGACGGGCTCTCCCCGTCCACGCTTAAGGTCTATGTGGCGGCCATAGCTGCCTTCCACACGCCTCTAGGGGTGGGCACCTTGGGGAGACACCCACTAATTGTACCTTTCCTTCGTGGAGCTAGAAAGGATGAGGCCTGTCATCCAGTCCAGAGTTACCTCTTTTAAACTAACCTCCTTTAAGCATGAGAAGATTTGTGTGTGAAAACAGAAAAATCTGAGCCATGATATATTGAAGGGCAGATAAATGTGACATTTATTATAATGGGTTTATGTGAAGAATGTTTGAAGTTCACAAATTAAAAGTTGTTGTATTTTGTAAAGCCTACATTTTTTATTTTTTAAATTGATAGCTTTTAATTATACTGTAATGCTGAATGGCTAAAATTGAGAAAAAAATATTCATAGAGACGTAGCAGTGTTGGTATCGGCGATACCATTGATACCAAAAGATGCCATTAAACAAGTATTTAAAATATACTGTCCTTATGTTGTTTCTACATTAATTTGGAGATTCAATGTGAAATTTTTACAATAATATATTTAAAACGTTAATGTTAGGTGCAGTTAATCGCGATTAATTACAGAAAAATACGCGATTAATAAGAAAATTTGTCAATTGACAGCACTAGTTTCTAATTGTCATCTTTTATTTAAACATGTATTTTTTCCCCACTGTAATTGTCTTCTCTAAGCTGGATGCATGCGATACTGCCTAAGAATTTGGCCAAAATGATCTTATATGTTATTATGACGCCTATCTCTTCAAACAGATTTTGGGACACATTAAAATAGTCATTAGGTTTTGGAGCAGAGCTGTAGAAAGTGCTGGATTAAAGTGAAGATGTTGTGTACCTGCTCCTCTTGCTGAACAAGCTGGCTGAGTTTCTTCCTCCGCTTTTCTCCCACTTTAGACACGATGGGGTTCAGCAGACGGAACTCCTCGCTCCGCTCATCCACCTGGTAATCCGGGTTCTCAAACATCACCTTGAAACGGTCGTCCATCAGGAGATTGTCTACGGCCTGGGAAAGACAAAAAGATGATAGCAAATGTTTTAAAAAGATTTAAAAGATCACTCCAATGTCTGAAATATTTCTATAGTAAATCAGTGTGAAAGAAACATTGCCCACATTGGCTTTTTTCTTCCTCTTCTTGCTTGGAAGCTCACTTTCCTCCATGAGTTTCAAGGCCAGTTCCTTATTGACCTTAGGCAGCTTCTGCTTAGAGATAAGAGAGAGAGAAACAGTCAAAGCATTGACCATAACAGACTCTGAGGAATTAGAAAGATTACATTCACTCAACCTACAGCTCTATAATTTCAGCGATGAGGAATCCAGTCATAAGTATGTCACAGAATTTGGCTAATTTTGGATGAATAAACAAAAAGTAGCCAAAAAAATTAAAGGGATTTCATTACCACAGCTAACTAAAACATTTCTGAAAACTGTATTCAGTGATTTTCTGGTAACACTTTATTTTACATTGTCCTTGTTAATATGTACTTACCATATTAATAAAAGTAAATTATGCATAATTACATGCAACTAACCCTCAACCAAACCCTAATCCTACCCTAACCCTATAGTAAGTACATGTAGTTAATTAATATTACTTAGTACTTAAATGTACAATTACACTGTAACAAGGACACTAAAATAAAGCGTTAACTTTTCTGTAACAAGCTTTCTTTAAGCCAATCCTTCTGTCATTCTTCATCTGCCACGTTTACTCGTAGCTGAGAGAAGCACACAGTCAAACATGCAGACAGCGTTACCTTGAGCTGGACTCTCTGAGCTCTCGACTCATCGATCTTCTGTCGGATTCGGTCCTTACGGTACTCTTCATAGGCGAACGGGTTCGCCATGGTCTTTACCTACAGAAAAGCACAGCAATCAAACATGTATCATCATTTAACCATTTAAAAGATGTCTTTTAGAGAACATGCACAAATGCCCTGACACAAATCTGCACCTTGTGGTAGAGCCTGATGTCCATGAAGAAGCCGTGCATGTAGGCCCGGAGAAGAGCCGAACCAATCAGATGCGTCAGACCTTAGTGGGGGAAAACAAGCTAAATTACAGGAACTCATCCAATTACAAAGAACACTATGGTGAAAATTTTGCACAAATAACATAACCAATTTAGTTGGTCCCAATCGACAATTTGTTTTCTTGGTATGGACACGTTTAAAGCACAGATTTAAAGTACTAATATCAAAGTAATATAAACTTATAAGTTAAAAATGAAGGCAAGTCACCTTTATTTATATAGCGCTTTTAACAATATAGATTGTTTCAAAGCAGCTTTACAGTGATAATAGGAGATTAAAGGTTTGAAATTTTGAAAAAGTTATCATCTCCGCGTAAACTTCAAAAACGCGAATCTTTGAAAACGCTGACGGCATATTACGTGTTCAGTTTATAGGTGTGTGTGTTTGAATATATATGTGCGCAGGCGTGTAGTGTTTCTTTACAAATTGACCTGTCTGGCCTTAAAAATTCATTATACAGCATTTTTTGTCGCTTCCGTGTATCAATGTGAACTGGAATCAAAGAAGACTATTATTGTGCCACTTTGCGTTTGTTTGTGGTTAGTGGAACATTAATAGTTAATGTGATGAACTCCAGTTGTGGTTCCTCTGCTTTCTGTGTAAAGTTCAGCAGAACTGACTTACGTCCACTAAACATCACCTTGACATCAGTTAAAGTCATTTAGTAAAAATTATTTATTAGTTATGAGAAAAACGTGAGCAAAATTGGTTTAATACTTTAATGCAATGACATTCAGACAAGTTACATAGGCCTAGTGCTTTGAACAATACAGATTGTTTCGAAAATCTGTTAATTTTCGAAAACTTATCAATGTGTTAATGTTAAAGTTCATCAATTATGAAACAAATTCCATTTCATCTGTAAAGCAGCTCTACAGAAGACAAGTGACATTATTCAGCTCATTGATTAAATTCAGTTCAACAAGTGTAAACGTAGCAAAGTTAACGTTATCTCAATTCGGTTCAAATTTTGTTCTCATTTGATAATGTCAGTGCAGTAAAATTGATAATATTACTGAATATTAAGTATCTTTTAAACCCCAACTCAGCAAAGCCAAAGGCGACAGTGGCAAGGAACCCAAAGTCATCAGGTGACAGAAGAGGAGGGAAAAAGTGTGTGAATACATTTTGAAGGCACTGCAGTCTGTAAGCATGATAGTTTCCATGCAGTATAACCTCCATGATCACCACCTAAACACTCAGACACACTCTTGAAGTTTGAGCACCCTGAACCAACAACATTTGTCCTGCTTATATGGCATTTTCATTGTTTTCATTGATTTAAAATGACAAGGTTCAAAGAAGAGACACAAAGCATTTCAAGAATTCAGCTGAGCTTTGTCTGTATTGAGCAGGGATGAGCTATTCTATAGATAAAATTCACTGATATCAGCAAAGAGGCTGATGCTCAGCGATTACACTACTGACGAAACACACATCAGTGAATCACAAAACACATGAATAGATCCAGACCCACAGCAGCAAATATGTCTCTGACGCATTCTAACCAGAATGCAAAGATTTCATCATACTCACTTCCATTAAATAGTGCAAAACACTAGAAAAACAGAGCTGGGGAAATAAAGAATAAAGGCATAGTTACTTTTTTGCCCATTCTTCTTTAAATTTTTGGTCTACTTTAATGCTTTGTGTATCAGAATACATCGTGTCATCGGGTTCATGATCAGACGTACTGCTGTATCAGTGTCCTTATTTGCACATACATTTCATTTGTTAAAATATGTGCGCATACGGTGCTGGTTCATGTTTGGAGTAGAAGAGTATGTGAAATATGTCTTTATTCTCATGTATAGCATGGAGAAACTGATGACGTAGAAACATACTCTCTCCAGCCACAGCTGCCAATCACCACTCCAAATTACCGTACATACCTCACTTTGGTTCAACTTCGCTTTTTAAAGCGGGAGAACAAAATAGCTAAAAAAATATCACTTTTCCCTTAATAATAAACATATTGAGTGTTATTGTGGTTTTCATTGATGTGCAACCTGCACATATTTGTTAACATCCCAAAAAAATGTGTTTTAGGGTTTCATGACGCTTTAATGCAAGTATCTTATTGGTGATCTTAGGACAGATTCTGCCACTTACCCAGGTTCTCCAGGTCTTTGCGGGTGACAAACTTGTAGTCGTCATAGATGGTGCTCTCCGGGTTCTCCTCAAGCTCCTCGGTGAGGTTATCCAGGAAGGAGCACCAGCGTGGAGCCGGACCGAGAGCCTGAAACACAGCGACACACAACAGAGAAACCGCGAGTCAATGGCAAATAAGGATCCTTCTCAGGTAGATCATAAAGCGCTTCCCAAAACATGGCGGTTTAGAGATATCATGAAGATGATCTTTAACAATTAAGGATCAATCTAACGAAAACGGTTGTAAATAATTGGTCAGAATTCACAGCAAAATTAAAAGAAGTTGCTTGAATGAAGAATATTTTATATGATTCGGGCAGCGTTACAAGTCAGATTGGATCGGAACATTTACATAATTTACGGAACATTTACATCATTAGACACTTATTTTTATTTGATTACATTTTAAATGATTCATTTCATTTTTGTTTTTTTAAGTTTTATGAATTAATTTTTTAGACACCATTTTTGAGATACAATTTTTATTAAATCCCGAAACATAATCCCGAAAAACAAAATACAATGGAGAAAACAGAATCAGGCAAAAAATAAAAAGGTTTTCATGTGTAAAAGTAGTAGCTTACTCTGAGGAGTTTACGTTGCAATTCCCCATTAATGGTATGAAATTAATATTGTTGTTAAATATCAATATCGCCAAAAATATGATTATACACCAACCCTAATTGTGTGTTTGGAGGAAATGTGATGAAAATAACATAAACAGGCTTCATTTTCTTTATGCAAAATGTTATTTAATTGTATAGTTTTCTTTTGAGTTTAGTGTGAAATGTGATCCAGACATTGATACAAGATTCACTGTTAGAAGTTCTGAACCATGTTCTGTTTGACAGAAATGTCAGTGTAGGGTTAGGGTTATGAAGGGCTTATAAACTGAAATGATTTTATTGAGATCTCGAGTTTGTAGTTCTTATTTCTGTATTGTGTGTACTCAACTCAGGTCCTGCCCTGACAGTCTTTCCTGTCTTGTCTCGGTTTAATGTATCTTTGTTTGCCTTGTGTCTTGGTCATGTGCTCTTCTAGTCCCGCCTCCTTGTTTCCCGTCACCACACCCCTTGGTTTAGTCCTTTTCTAGTCCTCATTTGCTTTTGATTGTGTTCACCTGATCCTCATGTGCTCTGCTGTCTTTATATTGTACTCCTTTCCCTCTTGTCTTTGCAATTGTTGTGTGCGTGCGTTTCTCACAGATCTTGTAAGTCAATGCTAGATTTAGTTTTGTTTGTCAGTTGTTTTGTACTCATTTAATTGAGATTTTTTCAGTTTTTTCTTTGTTCCTGATTTTTATTCTAGTCAAGTTCCAGTATTAATTTTGCTCTAGTTCTCCCAAGCTTCGTTTTTGTTTTCTCTCTTGTTTTTGATTTGATTGTTCAAGCCCCCTGTAGTCAATCATTTTATCCCTTAAAACTCAACTCTGATCACCAAAATGACAAATTTACAAATTTTTCCTTGAAAAAAATTCTTCACGCCTTAAAATATCTTGAATGTACCTCGACACCCTTGCCTCATTTAGTATACACCGTTCTATGAATATGCAAATTAGCCCCGCCTCCACTCACTCACACAGCTCAGAGATCCACTGGTTGACGATCACACGTCGATCTGATTGATCTCAGTTAGTTTGTGACGTCAGAAACACCAGCGATTTCAAACCGTGTCTTAGAGACTGTCTTTGGTTCACTGCAGTTTTAAGAGAAAATACTCAGCAATGCTGTCAACTTATGAATTTACACATGCTTTGTCATAAAGCATATTAAAAAACACCACATAGACATATAAACTCACCACAAGGGGAACTTTAACTATATATATAGGATTTGTGCTATATAAATAAACTTGCCTTGCCTTAACTAATATTTTATTTCTTTTCTCTCTTGTTCCCTGTAAGGTTGCAATCTTGTTTTATTTCTTTTTTTCAAGTTTCCAGTTATTTATTTCTAGACTTCTTTTGTTTGTTTACTTATTTATTTGCCAGATCCTGTTATTACAGTATTTAGTTTATTTATTTGATTTTCTCTACTCTTTACTCGGTTTAATTTGCTTTTATATCTTGTTGTCTTGGCCTATTAAATCTTGTCTTGTGTGTTGCGTTGACTCTCCTGGTCTAGCTAGTCTGGTGTTCCCTGAGCCGCTGCCTTGTGTCCATCTCTGCCGTCTCATCCCCAACCAACCTGTTCTCCAGTTGTGTATCCTTGCCTTATTGTTTGGTCTGTAATGTATTCCCACCTCACCTATCTTGTGCTGTTACTTGTTGTCAATAAATAACAACCGTTGGTTATTCTGCATCTGGGTCCTCCCTCTCAGAATTCCTGACACAGACAGAATAACTGCTCTCTTATTGCCAAACACACAGAGCTATATAATGTGCAGGTCTGGATCAGAAGGCAGTTTCTCAGAAGGGTTTCGGTTGCCCTTAACTGCCGCTGCTATAAACTATAAACACTATAAAGCCACAGGGAGGGTTGTTTTTACTTAGAAAGACATGAAAAGGTGTAATTGGTAGAAGGTGTTCACGGGAAGTGCCGTGACTAATCAAAGTACAAAGAATAAAATGTGCTCAAAGCATCTGCTCATTATCATGTCATTCTTCATATCACACCATCTGGTACTTACAGGAATGTAAAAGGTGTTCATTTTGGGATCTTCATTGGCAGTGAAAAGCATACCTGTAAATTGAGTCATATAGAAGCAATTAGAAAACAGAAACAACACACAAAACCCCTATATACGCGAGTCACCTTCAACAGCACGTGTCAGATGATGGTTACAGACGTGTGTGTGTCCATCAGATGTGTGTATGCAGGCCTTATCATTCAAACTGTGTAAATATAATCCACTCACAATAAAGCAACCGTTCAGGTTCGAGATCAGTAAGATTTTGGTCAGCATGTCTCTAATGCGCACCATATTTTTGATCAAATTAATTGGACCGTAAAACAGTAAAAAAGAAATCACTATTATTACAATTATTATAGATTTTAGATAGGAGTTATTGTATTGTTGTAAGATGTTTAATTGTATATTGTGTTATACTTTATATGCATGTACTTTTATATTTTAGTCATATATAAAAAAAGTTTGCCATATATGTATATGTACACTCACCTAAAGGATTATTAGGAACACCATACTAATACTGTGTTTGACCCCCTTTCGCCTTCAGAACTGCCTTAATTCTACGTGGCATTCAGAGGTGGAAAGTAACGAATTAAATTTACTCGCGTAACGTAATTGAGTAGTTTTTTTGTGTACTTCTACTTTTTTAAGTAGTTTTTAAAATCTGTACTTTTACTTTTACTTAAGTATGTTTTCTTTGAAGTATTGTACTTCGCTACATTTGAAATCATATCCGTTACTGAGTAAAAAATAATAAAAGAAAAAAAACACACTCCGGAAACTACTGCATTGATTGAAGGGCGGGAGAACAAACGCGCAAAAAAGGTGACGCAGAACCAGCTGAAGCTGAAACCGAAGCGCCAAGCGAATTATGGCCAGTTTGAAAATACTTTGTAGAAAAAAAGCGTGGTTGTCCTCGAGGATAGATATCCAATTTGCAAAAAATGTGGACGCAAAGTGGCTGCAAAAGGAGGATATAGGACACCATCCCTCCTGCAGATAAAGGTATGTCCCGATTTACGTGATGCAGAGGGAACCCCGGAATCCAGTCATGAAAATGAAATTTACATAACGCAGATCGATGTCACGTAAAACACGCAAAATAACGGATGGATGAATACATGGAAAGTAGAACTGTGCAATAAATCCAATCGCGACATGGTCTGTGAATATTTAAGCTTAGCACAAAAATACTGCATGTAAATATAACCCTATTTGTTCTGCTGAGCTGCGCAGCTTTGTCTACTACATACTAAAGTACGCGTGACATTCAGAGTCTCACAAACAATTTGAGGATATGAATACATGAACATTTCCAGAGCTGCTAAGAGAACGCCTAATGAGCATTTTCATAATTTTATTTGAGATAAACCATTGTCAAATACACTTTGAAACACTTTTTTACACTTTTGGTCTTCACTACAACCCGTCAAAATAAAAGTTTGGTTTTACTAGGAGAAATTAGGACAGAAATATATTACTATTATAGGCATACAATAGAACGTAGCCTACTTCTCTAAATAATAATAATAACATCAATAATAATACATTTTATTTAAACATTATTTAAAGGAATATATTTTTTGTCCATGGTTTAATTTAGTAAATCTGTCTTTGCAGCGCTTCCCCCAAAAATAAAAGGACACCATTTTAAATTTACATTTGATTACAACCGTTTTTGATAATATATTTGGATTAAATAATAAAAAGAAACATTAATTTTCTGAATAAAATACATTTCATAGGGCAATTTTTCTTAAACATTTTCTTAAATTATTAATGTTAAAAATAAGTTGTTAATCTAATTCATTATCAATGATCAAATTTAATTGATTAGACATGTTTTATTGAAATTTTAATAAACAAAACAAACAAATGGTTTCAAGTTTGTTATAATAAAAGCATTTGTTCAACCAAAAAAAAAATCCTGTTTTCATTAAAGGGGCACTTCACCTCTGGGAAGATGAATGTGTATTTAAAATGGGTCTGGGTCATTTATGTAGAAGAAATGAGCACGGTAATTCGAAAATACTACAGGTTTTCTACTGATACAAAGCTTAATGCTAAATCCTGAAGTGACCCTTTAATTTAACTGTCATTTAACTGAAAGAATAATAATAATAATAATACCCATAATTTAATAATACAGTTTATTTATTTATTAATTGATTAATACTGTAAACCGTGATATTTTCTGAGACATTATCATACTGTGAAAATCTCATACCATTACAACCCTACACGGGGGATTCCCCCAGACCACCCCCGCTGTTAAAAAAGTTACTCAGTAACTTTTACTCTGAGTAAATTTTAAATGAGCTACTTTTTACTTTTACTTGAGTAGATTTTTAGGCCAGTACTTTTACTTGTACTTAAGTACAATTTAATTGAAGTAGTAGTACTTTTACTTGAGTAGAATATTTTATTACTCTATCCACCTCTGGTGGCATTGATTCAACAAGGTGCTGAAAGCATTCTTTAGAAATGTTGGCCCATATTGATAGGATAGCATCTTGCAGTTGATGGAGATTTGTGGGATGCACATCCAGGGCACGAAGCTCCCGTTCCACCACATCCCAAAGATACTCTATTGGGTTGAGATCTGGTGACTGTGGGGGCCATTTTAGTACAGTGAACTCATTGTCATGTTCAAGAAACCAATGGGCTATATGCACGCATAACTTCCGCGTTTGACGCAAGGATGCTCTTGCGTTTCCGGTTGGGGAGATTTAAAGCGGAGGAAAACCGAGGAAAACGGGATTATGGCAGAGTCTTCACAATTTACTGTCCTCTCGTCTTTGAAACGAAACTTTAATACGTTTAGATGTAATTTTATATATAGTTATGTTTATTTAATATAATAACAAAGAAGCATAAACAAAATGAGGGGTGTCTGTTTTGTCTGTTTTTGTGACTAACGTTTCTTTAGTATAGCAACAGAGTATAAAAACCAATATAAATTCTCGGTATAGCATTGGACTCTACTATAGGCGGTAGTGTTGTCAAAAAAGTCGATACTTCGGTACCAAGTCGGTACTAAAAAAAATTAACGGTTACGGTACCAGCTTTTCTAGGTACCGAGTACCGGGTTAATCCGGTTCTTGATGCGCTGTCCGAAAGGTGCAGAGTTGCGTCCTCTTCATAAAAACACTGAGACATGGCGACCGGCGGCGCTGCTAATGCGTTGGCTCTGAATCCACTTGTTGACAAGAAAGGAGGAAAGAGCCACATATGGAAATATGTTGAATTAGGCTAATGTCACGTTGCCATAAAGGGCCGTTCACACGTTCACATAGCACGTTTTTTTGCGCGTGCAAATTTCAAATGTAGGCGCGCGGGAAGCGCGCTCATAATAGAAGCGACGTGCGAGCTTGTTTTTCCAGGCGCGTCACTGTTTATGGTTGCATAGCGGAGACACGCGAGAGCGATCGCTTGTGGAGAGAAGGAGAAAGCGGTGCAAACTGCGCTCCCCGTGATGACGAGGAAGTATCAGCAAATCATTTATTGATTTCTAGCCCTTGCATTAGAAATCAGCTACATGGTTCTCAAGTTTTGAAGACAGGCAAGAGTGACATTTTTGGCAGTTTTGGATTAAATAAAAGTAGGCTACAGTTAAGTCAAATAAAACATGTTTTATCTCCTGTATAGTTTGGTAACACTACAATAAGATACCATTCATTAACATTACTTAATGTGTTAACATCAACACATTGAGTGAACAATATATTTTTACAACATTAATTAATGTTTGTGAATGTTATTTAATACAAACACTTGATTGTTCATGTTTGTTCACTTCATTCATTGTGCATTAAATAATGTTAAAAAATGTATTAGTATATATTTAAATTAACCCCAAGGAGAATAATTGCTACAGTATATAACTATGGTTTATTGTTAGGTCATTTTATCTAATGTTATCTAACAAATAGAATCTTATTGTAAAGTGTTTTTAATACTACAGTTTCCATCTTTGTAACTGTGATATACACTTTAATATATGTAAATGTTATCTAAATTAAGCTTTGGTACCGAAATTGGTACCGAGAACCGTGGATTTTCACTGGTATTGGTACCGAATACTGAAATTTTGGTACCGTGACAACACTAATAGGCGGAAGTAATCCAGCATCCTTAGACCTTCACCGGAAATACCGCCGTGCATAGAGCCCATTTGAAATGATTCGAACTTTGTGACATGGTGCATTATCCTGCTGGAAGTAGCCATCAGAGGATGGGTACATGTTGGCCATAAAGGGATGGACATGGTCAGAAACAATGCTCAGGTAGGCCGTGGCATTTAAACGATGCTCAAGTGGCACTAAGGGGCCTAAAGTGTGCCAAGAAAACATCCCCCACACCATTACACCACCACCACCAGCCTGCACAGTGGTAACAAGGCATGATGGATCCATGTTCTCATTCTGTTTACGCCAAATTCTGACTCTACCATCTGAATGTCTCAACAGAAATCGAGACTCATCAGACCAGGCAACATTTTTCCACAGGACTGCCGCATACCGGATGTTTTTCCCTTTTCACACCATTCTTTGTAAACCCTAGAAATAGTTGTGCATGAAAATCCCAGTAACTGAGCAGATTGTGAAATACTCAGACCGGCCCGTCTGGCACCAACAACCATGCCACGCTCAAAATGGCTTAAATCACCTTTCTTTCCCATTCTGACATTCAGTTTGGAGTTCAGGAGATTGTCTTGACCAGGACCACACCCCTAAATGCATTGAAGCAACTGCCATGTGATTGGTTGATTAGATAATTGCATTAATGAGAAATTGAACAGGTGTTCCTAATAAACCTTTAGGTGAGTATATATATAATTATTATTTTGTCATATATAAAATGGCAATACAAAAAGTTTTTGAAAGAAGTCTCTTCTGCTCACTAAGGCTGCATTTATTTGATCAAAAATACAAAAAATATTGATGAATACTATTATAACAATTTAAAATATGAATATAATTTGAATATATTTAAAAATTTAATTTATCCCTGTGATCAAAGCTGAATTTTCAGTATCATTATTTATTATTAAACATGTATTATTATCATCATCATCATCAATGTTAAAAACAGTTGTGCTGCTTCATATTTATTTCTGGAAACCGTGGTATCTAGCGTTTGCAGCATTTTGCTGCTTCATATTTATTTCTGGAAACCGTGGTATCTAGCGTTTGCAGCATTTATTTGAAATCGAAATCATTTGTAACATTATTAATGTCTTTACTGTAACTTTTGATCATTTAATGCGTCCTAGATGAATAAAAGTATTAATTTAGTTAAAAAAAAAAAACTCTTGAACATTAGTGTAGGTGTGCTAGTTTTATGTATCACGGTCTTTCTTCTAACATTCAAAAAATATTTATTAAAACTGAAAACCCAAATCAGTACTTCACATCTATTTATTAATCTGGCATGTTGGCATTACTGCTAAATAAATCCTTCAGGATAATACAAGATCCTCTTTTGGTCCTGTAGTGATAATGACTGGCAGATTGCCTTTTAAAAGGGGTGAGATACATTAAAAACTCTTCATGGGGTTTTAAATATCTTTTGTTTAACACAAACAGAGACGTTCTCATTCTAGTTCTAGAGAGCATCTGATTGGACAAAAAAAGAAATGCTTGTACACACCCCTGTGAGCAAGTTGATATCAATCATTTTGCTCTGCTTTCCAGTAAAAGAAAAACTGTAACTTTTAAATATATATTTCTTCTACAAAGTTTATGTTGGCATGTCCAGCGGTGTATAAATGACCTTAAAGCTCACACACAAGGGCGAAACGCCACACAATTCTAATTTAGGTTTCATGGGGTCAGATAGAAATTAACTAGTATCTTGTTGTGGTTAAACTTCAGTTCTATTTGTGTGAACTAACCTGAGCCGGGGTAGAGACACACATCATTGACGTTGGCCTGCGGTTCGATGGAGGAAAATACTCTTCCCTGAAATCAAGACAAAAAAACAAAAAGTAGTTATGCTTTTGATGTTTTTCCAATAAAGGATCCATGCTGAATGTCTAGAATAAAGAAATACACCAGCGAAGCCGGTCTTACATTGTCTTTGTGCCACATCTTGATGATTTTGGAGTCGGCGGACAGCACCAGGTCCAGCGGCTCGTGGAAGTGAAGGGATTTGATGGGAAGACCATAGTAATGATCTTTAACTAGCAGAGGATGTGAAGAACGAAGATCATAGACCAGAATCTGAGGAGGCATCACAACTCCAAGTCAAAACAAGCACTGCTGGCCATGAATCTGAGTTTACGTTTGCTCTCTCCTTTGAGCTGAGGTGTCTCTATTTTACCAAGACTTTACACTTTAAATGTGAGGGTAGTGACCTGTCCGGTGCTGGTGCCCACCGCCATTCCCAGAGAGCCGTTGAACTTCAGAGCGCTGACGGACGGCAGACCTTCCACCCTTCAAACACAGGACATCAGACGGTTATTATAGTGTTGTCAAAAGTACCGACTTCAGTAAAGAAATTTAAAAAATGTCACGGTTTTAGCGCTGTTGGGCGGAATCGTAAACACCTCTGATTGGCCATTGTGTTCATGAGCTCATCAAATATGTCTGTGATTGGCTACAATGATCAGTGCTTCAAAAACATGTTGTAAATATACATCAATGACGCTCTTCACGAGCGCTTACAGATACACTCGAGAGCGTTTGAAAGCAGGCGTCTATGGGCGTCAAAATAAATAGACAGATTTCTGAAGGATCATGTGACACTGAAGAATGGAGTAATGATGCTGAAAATTCAGCTTTGATCACAGGAATAAATTACATTTTTACATATATAGAAATCAGTTCTTTAAATTGCAATAGTATTTCAAAATATTACTGATTTTCTGTTTTGATCAAATAAATGCAGCCTCGGTGAGCAGGAGAGACATCTTTCAGAAACATAAATAAACCCTGTAATTTGTCCAAACTTAGTATATTTAATGTGATATCTCAGGTCTTCTGAAGCCATATGATAAACAGACTGAACCTTATTCACAGAAAATCTTGTTTAACAGTCGTGGCCACCGACATTTTCATCGCACAACACATCTTATGAGTCGCCAGAATAACACAATCACACGAGTATAGATAGACGAGATGGAGAATAAACAATGACAAATGGTTCATTCTTGGCTGAACACTGAACTATTTCTGTTCATGAATAACTGAGATGAATGAAACGTACTCAGTGGCGTCAGTGATGCTGCTGAGAGCGCAGTCCAGAACGCCCACTCGGCCCCGGACACGAGGATCCCAGCAGTCCACTCTGCCCTTCACAAACACACACGCTCATTGATACACAGCAGCACAAACATCAGTCGGTCTACTGGCATCAACACATACCTCTAATGTTCCCGCAGCAAACAAGTTATGAACGGGGTTGATGTCGCACACGTTGATTTCCCTGCGAAAATACGAGAAGTTTATCATGACAGTGAAAACATCTCAAACTATAATAAACAGCATTTTCTATTCCTTTCTTATATGTTATTGTTGCAGTCGCTCTTTAATTGAGAGAATATATGTGTCATTTTAAAGGAACACTCCGACTTTTTGGGACTTTAGCCTATTCACCTTATCCCCCAGAGTTAGATAAGTCCATACATACCTTTTTCATCTCCGTGCGTGCTATAAGTCTGTTTGACGCACCCACCGCTAGCCTAGCTTAGCACAAAGACTGGATGTAAATGGTTGCAGCTAGCATACTAATCCAAATAAGTGACAAAATAACGCAAACATTTTCCTATTTACATGTTGTGATTTGTATAGTCACAGAGTGTACAAAAAACAAAGTCACATGAGACACAGACATATTTTAACTCTCTGGGGTCGGCGGTCTCGCCGGCGATACCAGCTCACTTTTTTCCTTATCAGTGCAAAAGAGACTCAAATTACTCTGTTAATTTTGATCTTACATATAAGTGTTGTACATCATTCGATCCTGTTAAGTTTGTATTTGTTTTGTGGAACCTCATAATAAAAACAAAGTGTTGTGCTTTTCGCCTAATAAAGAAAAATAAACATGATGCGGGTTCTGCGTTCTCTCTGTCAGTGAAGTCCATTCTGAAACGCGTCCGAAAAATCATCTGTAACTCTGCAAATACTCAGTCAAACAGGTATACAGGCACACAGGCATGAAGCCTGAATTATCTTCTTTTAAATGAAGTAATTTATATAAAAAAAAATTGTTCTCATTTTATGTAATCTGTACGAAAAGAGAGAGATGATAGTCGTTCTCGTCTCAGCTCATTAAAGTTAATTTGACCACGCCCACGGAGCGCGCGCTCTATTCAAACACAAATGCTCTGAGGCGATCCACGCCCACATCAGCTGGATAATAACCCACCGAAAGAGACTCAGATTTACGACGCTGTGAGGAATAATAGTACTATCTTAATAATAATCCTGGAAAAAATTACCTCAGAAGTAGGCTACAGGTAGTTTCATTTGGAGGAGCAATGGATCCAGCCGAGGAAATAGGTACATTCTTTATTTTCAAGTGCTTTGTTCTAATCGAGATATGGAATAGTGTCTGTAAACAAAAAGACTGTTTGAATCGCGTTTTTGTGTGTGAATGAATGAACAGCTTTTACCTAACTATATCCCAATACTGAGATGAGTAAAAATCTACTGAAATATGTTGAAATAAAATATTTTTGTATAAGCAACGTATTAAACTGCAAATTAACATTTATATGTCCTAATCATAAAAACGATATGTTACATATGAAAGACAAGATGTCGTTTTTACTGTAAAATACTGCCACATCAAATAAGCTTGTTTGCTAAGATGTTATTATAGTGTTTGTTCGATTGTAAGCTATATTCAAACTAATTAATCCGCAACTGTGAAATATGTATGATAAAATGTATACTTTAGTATATAATACAAAGAAAGATTACATTTGAAATATAGTTAAAATTTTAATTGTTGTTGTAATTGTAACCTTTTTATTAAAATAGCAAAAATATATGTAGGCTACATATAAATAAATCTTAGGTAAATCTTAAAAGCTCAATATAAGCCTCCTCTTTAAATTATTTGTATTGTGTTTTATTAGTGACACATTTGGGATACATTCCCAAACTTTCTGTAAAAACAGTATGATAATTAACTGCACAATTACTAGAAATTTTTACATTTGATATTATACAATTTGCAAGCACAATTTGAAAAATAAATAAATAATTGGAACTGTGAACCAATTTTGTATTATATAGGCATCTATATATATATATATATATATTGTCATTGCATTCTTGTGGCTCAGTGACACACCTGAATGAAAGGCTCATTAGTATGCAGCCCGATTATGCGCTCATTATGCGGGCCCATTGTCTTCTCAGGTGTGAATCACAGCAGGTCACACCCCTGCGCATATTGCCTTTCCAAACAAAAAGTGTCATTTTTAAATTTAAACCAATCTATTGTTTTATGTGAATGATAAGACAGGATGATTTTCAGATCATTTTGAAGAAAAAACTCTAGGCGACAACATCCATTAGTCAAAAGTCTTGTGGACAGATATTTAGTATGTGTTTTGTGGCCTTATTTCAGAAACTTTAAGTTTTAGTTTTTTCAATAACTACGCATAAACAATATTCTCTCAAAAATGTACATACATGTTGATAACACATTATGGTAGCCCTGTGTGTGCTAAATAGAGTGTAATTTCACCTGTGCCAGTAATATGTTTATAAGCAACTGAAAAAAGCACAAATGTCAGAGTATGTCAAAACATCTCAAGGACCTCAAAAACACCTTGGACCCCAGAGGGTTAACCGTATAAATACTGGGAACTATATTCTCTGAAGGCGAAGCACTGCTACTTGGGCGGAGTGATAACCGCAGCACCTGAGACGCGCCGTGGTGAGGAGCAGAGAGCGAGTCTCAGGTGCTGCGGTTATCACTCCGCCCAAGTAACAGTGCTTCGCCTTCAGAGAATATAGTTCCCAGTATATATACGGTTAAAATATGTCTGTGTCTCATGTGACTTTGTTTTTTGTACACTCTGTGACTATACAAATCACAACATGTAAATAGGAAAATGTTTGCGTTATTTTGTCACTTATTTGGATTAGTATGCTAGCTGCAACCATTTAGATCCAGTCTTTGTGCTAAGCTAGGCTAGCGGTGGGTGCGTCAAACAGACTTATAGCACGCACGGAGATGAAAAAGGTATGTATGGACTTATCTAACTCTGGGGGATAAGGTGAATAGGCTAAAGTCCCAAAAAGTCGGAGTGTTCCTTTAAATGTGTATGTCCCACAGCTAGACTACACATTAAAAACGTTAAGAAATAGTGATCATTACTAAAAAATATACATTTCTTATTAGGGGTGTAACGATACCCTCATGACAAGATTTGATACATATCACGATACTGAACTAACGATATGATATTATTGTGATACTCCAAGACATATGATAAAAGGTAAACAAAAAAATGTACTGTTGATTAAAATGCTAAATTTGATATTACAAAATGTAAATGAATAGGCTTGGACTTGGTGCTGGAAACCCAAAGCACAGGACAATAGAGACATCAGAATAACAATATTCATGATTCTGAAGCAGAAAATACAGAATTATTTTAAACTAACATATATGCATTCAGTCACTGACTAGATGTGTTTAAAATAACGTAGGCCACTTTTTACTGGAAACATCAGACATTTGGCATCATCAGGACCCACAAATATTCTCCCATTGCATTATTTTACGTTATACTCAACATTATATAAAGTAGTTTAATGTAGTAGTGACACTAAAACTCTGAAAACTTTTATTTTTTCTCACACAGAAGTTTTCATTTTGGGTGAACTATACACAATACGTATAGTCACTATCCACGATACATATTGATGCATTTTTTTATTGGGATATATTGTTACACCCCTGTTCCTTAATCGATTGATTCAAAATGCACCCTGAAGTGTTGGTGTTCAGGGTTGTAGAACGGCGCCCTCTGGCGGAGAGATACTTACGCAGCGTCTGTCTTTAAGGAGTTCAGGAATCTGCCCTGTTCAAGATTCAGCCTGTAGATCTCTGAGCTACACATGCATTAGAAAAACAAAAGAGAGGACACAACGTTAAGAGTCAAATGGGGATTTGCACAGTCCCGTGTATGTCTATAATTTGTAATGGTTCTAAAGGTCGTTTAATAACAAAAATTGCAATGAAAAAAATCAAAGCGAATCGAAGATAAAAGGTCCATTGACATCGAGAGAGAATTGAAAAAGTGTTCACTTGTGTTCATGTCAGATGGACAGACGTCAGTCGTTCTAGAAAATCAGCCCACATTTTTTATCCATCATCTGATTATAAATATTTCACTTGCTTTAATGCATTTATGTACTGATAGCATCATAGCTTATGCTTTACTGATCGCTTATGACATAGATACGCAAATAAATGGATATGAAATATTACACAACTGGTCAAAAGCTTGGGATCAGTAAGATATTTGATGTTTTTAAGAGAAGTCTCGTCTGCATTTATTTGATCAAAAATACAATAAAACAGTAATATACAGCATCAAAAGAACAGCATTCATTTGAAATCGAAATCGTTTGTAACATTGTAAATGTCTTTACTGTCACTTTTGATCAATATAATCAAAAGCAAATTGCTTAATAAAAGTGGTCTTAATAAATAAAGAAATAGGTAACACTTTACAATAAGGCTTAATTTGTAAATAATTTTAGATAACATGATCTAACAATGAAAAATACTTCTTCAGCATTTATTAATCTTAGTTAATGTTAATTTCAGCATTTACCTAAAATCAAAAGATGTGTTAACATTAGTTAAGTAATTAGTTACTTAGTTAGTAACATGAACAAACAATGAACAGATGGACTTAATTAACTAACATTAACAAAGAGTAATAAATACAGTAAGAAATGTATTACTCATGTTACAGTTCATGTTAGTTTGTACATTAATAATGTTAGCAAAAGAAATGTTAGCAAGAGTATTACCAATAATCACTGATCCCTTTCTAACAGCAGACAAAGAAAAGAATAATAAAATAAAAAAGCAGTTTAAGGATGATTATAAAAATACAAGCCTGCAGAATGCCACGCTTGACCAATCATAAATCCCAGACAACCATAAAAGGAATATATTCAGTATAATGACAACAGTATATTTGCTCTTGGTGTGAACAGTCTCTGTTTTTACCTGGCACCAACAAAGTAGAGATCGCAGGAAGGGTAGTGGTAGGAGAAGTCTCGGCCAAACTTGGGGATGCGGGTCTTATAGTAGTGCCCGTGCTGAGAGTGGAACGACACACTGCGGTCCATGTGCAGAAACACCAGCTGGGACACACAAAACAGACTGAAATCACATCACTTTTGTTTTTCTATTTAAGTCAACGTTTGTCATATCACAACATAAACTCTCCAACATCATGATGACAGGGTCTTTTAAAAATCCATTTTAAAGTCGGCATGAAACGGGCGTTGCACTCGTCGATTCTTCCCTGTTCCTTTCATAGACTTTAAAACCATTTAAAGTCCCCCTGTGGTGAAAATCAAGCTTTTCAATGTTGTTTATATGTCTATGTGGTGTTTTAAATATGCTTTAAGACAAACCGTGTGTAAATTCATAAGTCGACAGCATTGCTGAGTATTTTCTGCTTAAAACTGCAGTGAACCAAAGACAGTCTCAAAAACACGGTTTGAAATCGCTGGTGTTTCTGACGTCACAAACGACCTTGTAACCAATCAGATCAACGTGTGATCGTCAACCAGTGGATCTCTGAGCTGAGTGAGTGAGTGGAGGCGGGGCTCATTTACATATTCATAGAACCTCGTATACTAAATAAGACAAGGGTGTCGAGTTACATTCAAGATATTTTAAAGGTGCTCTAAGCGATGTCACGCGTTTTTTAGGCCAAAACATTTTTTGTCACATACAGCAAACATCTCCTCACTATCCGCTGGCTGCCTGTCCCCTGAACACACTGTAAAGAAACGCGATCTCTGCAGACAGCCCAGGCTCCACAAACAGCAACAAAAACAAACTGGGCTAACCCGCTCCACGAAACATGACAAACAGTTCCAGCCAATCACCGACAAGAAGGACTTGGGGGAGGGGTTTGGGGGATTAGTGTGCGGATGAGGAGGAGGGAGGGTCTAGCTAGCCTCCGTTTTGTTTGACAATACTTTAAACGTCAACAAGAAGTGACGTCACCCGACATCGCTTAGAGAACCTTTAAGGCATCAAGAAAACAAATTCAAGGAAAAAAACGTTTTAATGTGTCATTTTGTGGATCAAATGTGAGTTTTAAAGGATAAAATGATTGGCTACAGGGGGATTTTAACTTCTAAAGGATTCTGCAGATCTCTGGACAAGTCGCATACAATAATAAAATAACAACAGACAAAGACAAGACAAACAGAAAGACACACACAGGCATATAAAGGGCGTTTGGGTTTTACCTTAGAGTAGTCGTCTGATAAGATGTCAAACGCCACCACTGTGAGGGGAATAAAACCAATGTCATCATCAAGCAACAGCTTTACCCATCATCTATTGTGTTATTCGTAATCAGCGGCACATTAATGAGAGCTCAGGTTGTTTTTTGTGTGGACATTCTCATTAAATATTCAGTCCATTGGGCTTTTATTACAGAGCAGCAGCACCCGAAACCCTAGACCACTACAACTAGCACATATAACATGAAGCTCTTATACAGTTATTATAACACTTACCATCAGAGTCCAGGCACCTCTCAAACTTCAGAGACAACTGGTAAGTGTCATAGCATCGGACTCTAGGTTTGTACGTGCCTGAAAGCATTCAAAAAGATTTCAATGTTCACTTTCATTCAGCATAGAAAATCAAAAGCACAGGTAAAAGTGGTAAAGATACAGACCTGCAGCTAAAACGAACTGGCCATCTCGGGACACTTTGATGGAGGTGCAGACCGTGGGCATCTCAAAATCCTGAATGAGCTCGATCCTCCTCTGGATGTCTATTACAGACACGGAGAAACACATTAATAACCACGTCTTTGTTTTAATACTCTACAGGAGAAAGTGTGGAAAGCTGTGCTAAAGAAGGGGACAGAGGTATAACTAATACATCAAATTATGATTTAAGAAGTCTGCTTTTAGCTGAAATTAAAAGAAAATGAGCATACTATATAGGCCATAGAAATATGTAAATTGATTATTATTGATAAAGGTGATATTGTCAAGGTATTACTGAATCACAGGGGAACACACACACACACAAGTTTCACATTACAAATAAAAGTTACTAATCCACATCATTTATATTACAGGCACTTGTGCAGAATATGATTTAAAAATATACGCCAACAAAAAAATGATGCGCATTTCACTAAATTAAAGGGTGCCATAAATTATAATCACATTTAAACCAGTTTGAACACATTTCACACACACAAAAAAAGATTATTAATAGCATTATTTAACATAAAATGTTGAAGTAGCTCACCAACATCCTTATTCTGTAAAACTCTCTTCTTTCGATCAGACAGCCACTGAAATACACATGTGCAATTAGGGCTGCAACTAATGATTCTTTTGATAATTGATTAATCATTCAAGATTGTATGATTAAATATATATATACACATACATATAAATATATATATATATATATATATGATTTGATGCTCAAAAAACATTTCTGATTATAATCAATGTTGAAAACAGTTTTTGCTGCTTACTTTTTTTTATAACCTGTGATGCTTTTTTTCAGGAATAATTGATTAATAAAAAGTTAATTTAATCAAAATAGAAGTCTTTTATAACAATAAAATCTTTACTATCACTTTGTATCAATTTTACACATCATTGCTGAATAAAAGTATTCATTTCTTACAAACAAAAAAAGAAAGAAAACAATTACTGACTCAAAACCTTTTAACGGTAGTGTACATTGTTTGAAAATATTTTTTTAATTTGAATAAATGCAGTTCTCTTTAACTTTTTATTCATCCTGGAAAAAGTATCAAAGGTTATAATAAATATAAAGCAGCACAAATGTTTCCAACATTGATAATACATTTCTGAAAAATCACGTGACAGTGAAGACTGGAGAAATGATGCTGAAAATTCAGCTTTGATCCCTGGAATAAATTACATTTTAAAATATATACAAATAAAAATACATTATTTTAAATTGTAATAATATTTCACAATATTACTGTTTTTCTGTATTTTTGTTCAAATAAATTCAGCCTTGATGAGCAGAAGAGACTTCTTTGAAAAACATTAAAAATAGTAATATTTTTTGTAATAGTAACAAACTTTTGACCGATAATCTATGTACACACACACATATACATATACATATATATATATATATATATATATAGAGAGAGAGAGAGAGAGAGAGAGAGATTTACATTAAATTTAAAATGATAAAAAAAACAAAAGCACAGATGTGTTCAAGTTCTACAAGTAAACATTCCATGAGGTGCATTCATAATTGTTAAAAACTAATTGAATTTAAACATAATAACATGTATATTAGCATCATCATCATCACATCATAAAAAAAACTGTTAGTGACAACACTGACACACATAATGTAAAATATTACATTCAGTAGCAGTATATAAGTCCAAAGCATTAACATTAGTATTTATACTAATTAATTAATGGTCTGGAAAGTAAGCTCAGACTAGCTGTGTACATACAAATAATTATTTTACATATATCTTATTTTAAAATAATTTTTATTTTGTTCATAATTACTGAAACACATTTGTTGAAGAGGAGTCAAAAAACTAACTGTAATTGACAGGTAAAATGAGTAAAACTACTAAGCTATACAGGTTAGACTTTTGATGTCTGATTTAGAGGTAAATGATGAGGTTTTACACTACAATGTTTACTGTCACTGTTAGTTATTTACCCAGCACGCTTCAGAAGACTAACACAAACAGAAGAAGAGTTTTACCTCCGGAAGAGATTTCCCGTGACTCAGATTATATATCTTCACGTTATTCACACTAGACACCTGCATCTCGAAAGCGCTCAGACAGAGATTTCAAACATATCACATACAGTCATGTAAATCTGAAGAACTACTGTTAGCTGGCATGAACATCAGCACAAAACCCACGTGGATCCACAACAGGAAGTTAGGAGAATGGATGATGAAGTCCGTGTGGAAACACATCCGGCGACAATAGTTCCTAGCGTTCACCGATCGCAGATAATAGGCATTTTTTTCTTTTAAAAAATGTAGCATTTTATTGTTAACATTAACATTTAATAATAATAAAAAAATACATCCAAAATTAGCCACTACTAATTATTCGGTGCTCTACTTTGAAATAAATGTACCTGTTATGGCAAACAGCCCTTTTTTAGAACAAAATAATCCACCAACATTAAAATCTGCCATTAAGATTATTTTGGTATTATGTTAAATGTTAATGATAGATATTAAGAGATTCTTACGCAGAAGGCAAGCCTGTAACATAGTAACATAGTTGACTGGAAACATTGTCAACTGTTGTGTCTCACTGATGTTAAATTATGATAAAAAAATAAATAAAACCTACGGCAAAAATTCATTATCATCAGAGACACAGTCACACGGTCATGACACCTGTTACCCAAGAACTGTCTCTACATGGTAACTTAGTTGACAGGAAAATTTAATTGTAAATTTCACCATTTTGTTTTTTAATTTCAATGGGTGGCCTTACTTGTCCAACAGGATAACCTCAAATTTTAATATATATTTTTAATTGAAATCATAAAAATAACAAATACATCAAATACAGTAAAAAAAAGAATCAATAAAAGGTTTTTTTTTGTTTGTTTTTTTTGGTTTCGCTGTGACCGCTAGACTTGCCATGGCCGGAGAATTAAAAAAAGTATATTACAGTGGGGAAAATAATTATTTGATCTCCTGATTTTGTAAATTTGCCCAATTACAAAGAAATTAAGGGTTTATATTTTTTATGGTAGGTTTATTTTAACGGATAGAGACAGAATATCATCCAAACAATTCAGAAAAAAACACATTATATATAGGTTATAAATTAATTTGCATTTCAGTGAGTGAAATAAGTATTTGATCCCCAAGCAAAACATAATTAAGTACTTGGTGGAGAAACCCTTGTTGGCAAGCACAGAGGTACGACTTTTCTTGCAGTTGGTCACCAGGTTTGCACACATCTCAGGAGGGATTTTGGTCCACTCCTCTTCACAGATCCTCTCTAAACCTTTAAAGGGATACTCCACTTTTTTTGGAAATAGGCTCATTTTACAACTCCCCCAGAGTTAAACTGTTGAGTTTTACCGTTTTTGAATCCATTCAGCCGATCTCCGGTTCTGGCGGTACCACTTTTAGCATAGCTTAGCATACATCATTGAAGTGGACAAGACCATTAGCATTTCTAAAAGAAAAATGACCAAAGAATTTCGATATTTTTCCTATTTAAAACTTGACTCTTCTGTAGTTACATCGTGCACTAAGACCGACGGAAAATGTAAAGTTGCGATATTCTAGGCTGATATGGCTAGGAACTATACTCTCATTCCTGCGTAATAATCAAAAAACTTCACTGCCGTACCATGAGAGCAGCAGGCGTAATGATATGACGCAGCGCCTGAAAATAGGCCACCTTCCGTCAACACAACGGAACTATTTTCAGGCGCTGCGTCATATCATTACGCCTGCTGCTCTCATGGTACGGCAGTGACGTTTCTTGATTATTACGCAGGAATGAGAGTATAGTTCCTAGCCATATCAGCCTAGAATATCGCAACTTTACATTTTCCGTCGGTCTTAGAGCACGGGTGGTACCGCCAGAACCGGAGATCGGCTGAATGGATTCAAAAACGGTAAAACTCAACAGTTTAACTCTGGGGGAGTTGTAAAATGAGCCTATTTCCAAAAAAAGTGGAGTATCCCTTTAAGGTTTCTTGGCTGTCGCTTTGCAACTCGAAGTTTATGAATAAAACCAAATATAAACCAAAAAAAAAAAAACAGAAAAACATTATTTCAAGGTTGTAAATTGATTAGCATTTGATCGAGTGAAATAAGTATTTGATCCCCTACCAACCAGCAATAATTCTGCCTCCCACAGATTGGTTATGTGCCCATGTGGAACACAGATTAGTCCTGTCACTTTAAGAAAGTACTCCTAATATCAGCTCGTTATGTGTATAAAAGAAACCTGTCCACAGAATCTGTATCTTCCAATCCAACTTCTCCACCACAGCAAGACCAAAGAGCTGTCAAAGGACATCAGGGAGGATCGTAGACGTGCACAAGGCTGGAATGGGCTACAAGACCATCAGCAAGAAGCTTTGTGAGAAGGAGACTTATTGGTGTGATTATTCGGAAATGGAAGAAATACAAAATAACCATCAATCGCCCTCGGTCTGTAGCTCCATGCAAGATCTCACCTCATGGGGTACGGATGATCATGAGAAAGGTGAGGGATCAGCCCAGAACTACATGGGAGGAGCTTGTTAATGATCTCAAGGCAAGGTTGGGACCACAGTCACCAAGCAAACCATTGGTAACACACTACGCCGCAATGGATTGAAATCCTGCAGCGCCCGGAAGGTCCTCCTGCTCAAGAAGGCAAATGTACAGGTACAGGTACAGGCACGTCTGGAGTTTGCCAATGAACATCCAATGATTCAGAGAAGGCTTGGGAGAAAGTGCTGTGGTCAGATGAGACCAAAAGTCATTCTCCAAAAAAAAAAAAAAGGTTTGGAGGAAGTGAAATGCTGACTATGACCCCAAGGACACCATCCCTACCATCAAGCACGGAGGTGGAAAAGTAACCCATACAAGGTTACTGGAGTGCAACCCTCTACTCCGCCAGAGGGTGGTGCGCATAGTTTGAATTACGGGGGGTATTGGGGGGGTCCGACCCCCCTAGATGAGACTTGGACCCTCCCAAAAGGGATGAAAATAATAGTTTGGGGGGTACTGAAAAATGAAAATAAGTAGTAATTGTGTAGGCTACACAGATTCGTGTTCACTTCAGTCGTGTTATTTCAGCGCGCTCTTCATCTTCAATCCGCAGCGACGCAGAGCAGCGCACGTCAAACAGAGGACAGTGTGTGTGTGTGTGTATGTGTGTGTTCATCTGAGTCTCGTTGGTCTGTCACTGCTCGTCAATGTCAGAATATTTGAGATGACCAATCAAATCAAAGTAGGCCGGCTTTATGTTCACAGAAGCTGCTGAGCGCGAATTTTAGCAGAGCGACTTAATGCTTCAGTTTACTGTCAAGTTAAGATGTAAGTACCTAAACTAAACATTTCATATTTGACCGTTTTAGGTCATAAATATTAAACGAATGACAAAAATAATCAGGCAAACTAATAAACTTTTGTCTAATTTCGCCATTTTGAACTGAAAATAGGCCTATAACGTGACTCGTGTAATGCAGCCTAATAATTAGTTTACCGTCATTGTGAGGGGACAAGACACATTCACAAATCCGTTTTCACCATGTTAGGCACAAGATTAATAATGAATTTGTACATATTGAGAATTAATATAATACAATTTGTAGCCTTCAGTAAATTAAAAAATCTCAGCCTTAGGAGGGGAAAAGACAGGCCAAGATGAGGAGACTGAGAGAAAAAGAAAGGGTGATGGAGAAAACAGGTATTGACAGATAATCTACTGCCCGCTAACATGGTTTTAAAGCTATTTCTTATCCTTTTTTTTTTTTTTGGCCTTCAAACGACTTGAAATGCACATATCGGAGAAATAAAAAATTTGAGCCCCCAAATGGAGAGTGACGTCACCAGTCGAAATAGCTGTACCCCCCCAAGCTCACGGTATAATTCGAACACTGGTGGTGCGTACAACCCAGGGAATAAAAAAAAAAAAAAAAAAAAAAACCTTTCCTCCAGTGGAGACGTTGCCAGAAAGCATCAGGGACTGGTTGAAAGCTGTGAGAGAGAGAGTTAAGCCGCACGAGACTGCGAGCTCCTAAAGATACCTCCGATTGGTTTTTAGAGAGGGATAGATCATCTGAATCTGACCCTGGGGTCAGTGGCGAGCCAACCGCAGAAGTCAGTGAATGGACCAAGAGCCTGGTGTGGCCAGCCGTGGCATCTTTGCAACCAACATCATCCTGTGGCTTCATGTAAAAGACAGATAAGAACACACCTAAACCTACCCGGGTAGTGAAAAGAACATACATACTCCAAGAAACACAAACACACCAAGAACTTTCATGGACTCTTTCTTTTGTTTGAGGTTGTTTATTTTGGGGTTTTATTGTGCACCGGTGCACTCAGGACGCTGGCTTAGGTAGGCAGGGAATGTAAATAACTGTCTTTAATTTTGTATAATACATTTCTGCAGCTTTACCTGGTTTGTGTTGTCTGTTCTCTGCTGACCTTTTACTACTTCAGGCTCTGTAGTCGTACCTAGAGTTTCTGATATTAGCCAGCTCTAATTAATAGCTTATTAAATTAGTTATCAGTTACACTTACGCGAAGAGGGTTACAGAAACATTACGCTCTGGGGCTGTTTCTCTACTAAGGGTGCCGGACGGGTTCACTGTATAGAGGGGCCGAAGGACGAAAACCTTCTCCCCTCAGCCAGAACACTGAAGATGGGTCGTGGATGGGTCTTCTAGCATGACAATGAACCAAAACACACCGCCCAGGCAACAAAGTAGAGGCTCAAGAAGAAGGATGGGTCTTCTAGCATGACAATGAACCAAAACACACCGCCCTGGCAACAAAGTAGTGGCTCAAGAAGAAGCACATTAAAGGCACAATATGTAGATTTTTTTCACCACAAGAGGGCGCAGTTTCCAACAATAACAAAGGCGTAGGTTGATGACGCAGTGATGTGCTGAATGATGGGACTTGCTGTCAAGCTGATGGATCTAATAATGTTTATGGATGAGTGCAAACATTCATGTTTTTTAACATTACAGTGGTGTGAAGCAGGTCGCGATTGCTAAAGAGACAGATATCACACGCGAGTCCCGCGGATATAAAGGAATAAGGACATTTAATTCTACCGAACTACCCGCAAGTGCTGGATTACTCACACAGGTCAGTTTATTAGACGAATTAAACTTGTGAGGTAACGCAGCGCTGCTTCACTTGGTCTAACGTTACACTATCACACTAAACGGCATT